GCGCACCTGTATCACACACGGAGTGAACACACGCGACACCCACTCTCGCGCCGCTCTGCGCAGCGCTCCCCCGAGGCGAGCCGCAGCACTACACTCACCCCTGACTACTCGCGTTATGATCGCGCACGACAAGATCACGCGAGACCACGCTTCGCTATTAATGATTTATTATCTGCTACCTGGTAATTTAATGTTATGTCAGTATGAGTCGACGAGGCTGGCCTATCCTACTTCCCCTGGACCTATTCCCTATTTATCGGCTTACGATACCCTGTCACCTTGCTACTCACGGGTCGAAGTATTCGGCGTCCTGTGGCTTTTCCTCTATGCCGTCGGGGCACGTCGCGCGGACGTCCAGAGGGCAGAGCTGGGAGCCGACTTGCACGCGTGCCTCTTGAAGAGAAGTGAGGAGAGAGACTCCGTACCTTGCCACGCTCCTTTTTATCCTAATTCCCGGACTCGGGCCCCTACCCCCTTCCCACGTACCGTGCGCCTTCGCTATGCTAATTAATCCTCTGTCCGCGCGGCGTAAACTCTAAACAATGGCTCGCGCCCCCCTTGCATGGGCACGGCGGCTCCGCGGCGCCTCCACGGTGCTTTTGTTCCGCTAATCAATGAGCGACCTGCACGGCGCAAATTCCAATCAATCCCTTTCTCACGCAGGCCCCCCCATTATTGCAGTTCATGTGGCGGCGTCCGTCACAAAGGTGTGCCGTGGGAATTTGTGCACGGCTCCCCGCGTGACTCCGCTCCCCCGATTACTCATACTAACAGCCTTATCCTTTAACTCCCCTAACAATGGTGCCTGCGTGCCCGAGCGTAATTATGCCGTCCCTCCGCTGCCTGTGCGGGGGGGTGCCTGATTATGCAATTCAGATGCGCTGCGTGTTTTCTAATGATGCTCCTCCATCACAATGCTTATTCCCTCTGCCTGCCCCGTCGATACTTGCGTGTGTGGGGGGAAATGCGCCTCAACCGCGGTGGCCGAATGCCCCACGCCGCGACCACACCATATTAAGGCCGGTCGCAGCGCCGCAGCGCAACGTAGCACGGGGGAGGTCATCCAATTCCCTGATCGCCAGAAACCGTGAGAGTTAATCTCGATAAGGGTTTCTCGGATAAAAACCGGTCGATCAGGTGTCCTCCCCTTCCAGCTCTATGGGGGGGAATGCGTGCAGGTGTGTTCATGTGAGGTGAGGTGAGGGGGACAAGGGGTTGGCTCCGTTGCTGGGTGGTGGCGAGGTCGGGGATGGGGCGCCTGCCGAACGGCTTCGTGGCGGCGGCATCACACAGCACACTGAGTGGGTTAAGTAGCGAACCTCGGTACGCACACACAGCTACGGGAGACGTGAACTCTGAGCATGTACGTGCTGCATTCCCTCCTCTCCAAGTTGGGCTTCAGACAAGAACACTAATTATACCTTTCAAGCCTGGTTACAAGGTTACAAAATAGCATGAACTCTCACACCGTGTATCACATCCTCACAGTTATATGTGCGTATCTCTTTATACTATGCACTTAACGATCATGCAGTTAAGGTGCAACATTTACATCGTGTAATGTGTGTTTACACTATACTATACGTACTGTTCATTGATAATATATGCACCAAAGCCATGTATTGCTTGCAACTCACACTTTAACCCTATCAGCAGAGCATTTAGTATGAACCCTGTGCTTATCACATGCACACGTATAGCAAACACTACATACTTATGTAGTGAGTCCAACTGAGTCGCAGACGTTGCCTTGGGAGCAACACGTTTTATTAAACTCTTAGCACAACATACTCCAGGCTATTAACACAACATACTCCAGGCTATCAACACAACACACTCTCTGGTGGTGACCACCCAACTAACCACGCTACGGCGGAACTAGACACAGTTCCACCGGTCCGGACCACAAGCTGGGTCACGGACCGCGTGGCTGGAAGCTTCTTCAAGCTTTGCGTGGATCTCCTGCCTCTCATCTCGAGAGTTCTTCCCGGACCATGTGACCACCCATTAGCCCCCTTCACCGGTGCCCCCCCCCCCCTCCAATATCATCCAGTCACATGTCCCCAAGTCAGCCAGAGTATCATGCCCCCAACGTAACCCCTGCTGGCTGACACTCTCTCGCTCTCTCAACGGGAGCCCGCACTGCACGCTGTGCGTGGCCATCGCGCTTAACCAGCGCTCACCCAAGCCCCCACTAGGGCTGGTACTACACCCCATGTCCGGGGTGTACACACAACAGTATAATCCCGCCATGGCCTCACAAGCCCAGCACCACACAGTGACATTCCCAGTCACTACACTTATGTGCCATTATATTTCCTTTCTCTGATTCTTTACATTATAGGCTAGCAGTGTATGTATGTTGAACTTGATAATAGGTTTTTCCCCTTTTTTCTGGCAACAAAACAGGTGTTAAGATGTGTCTCGGCCTCGCTGTGCACTGTGTTGCATCGCTAGCTAAGTAGATAACCTCGCGTCCAATAAACCCTCAGAGCCAGGGTAAACATCAGACTCCAAATGTCATTTATTGAGTTTAACGAGGTAAAACTGGTGAGAAAACAGCACAGATACAGCATCTGTTATAAACCGGAAACACTAACACAATGAATGAACACCACAGCATCAGAACATTGTCTTAGATTACATGTTTCTCAACAATAGACCCTGGATGGACCAGGCCCCTACATTACCACTGAATAACTGTACAAGAGCATAAGCTGCTGTGTTACATAAAGGCACATCGTGCATTCATCACACTGCACCCCAAATGTACAGTATTACACAACACTAAATTGTAGATGAGATATTTCGTCATCCTTGCTCTCAGGATCGCAATATAGTTACTTGGGTACAAGTTTGACTCGACTTATTAAATTACAAGTAACATTCACAATAAGGAAAGTTGCAGGCTTCGTTGTTTTTTATAACAATTTAACAACATTATAAAGGCATTTACATCATTATAACGGTCATTATAACATTATAACAGCATTGCCAATATTATAAGAACATAAACGAAGTTACAGACAATGCTTCTTAAAGTCCCACAATGGACAGTTGCGGCTGGCTTCACTGGGACGCGATGTGTGCCGCCATCTTGAATTATGTGTGTAATGGCCGACGTCCGCGTGGTTGAGCGGGAATCGTAAATCGCAACTTACTGGTCACGTGACCAAAATTAGCATCAAAAACAGGAAATTCCTGTGTACATACGCCCCCCCCCCATCTGTCATGAGGCAAAACCCCCGCCGTAAGGCAGAACAAGATGTTACAACACTAAACTGAAACCTTTTGCAATAAATCATGTCTGCTCCTTCCCCAGACATGCCTGTATCTTTGAACCATAGAAGCCACCCTGAGAGACTGTGAGTAACTAACCTCATCTTTGTACCCTCCCTTTAATGTTTGGATTGGAAAATGAAAATGGAAGAACTAAGATGCGATGGAGTAAGAGAAACCCAGATTCTCTTCAACTTGTCGTGGAGGAATGATAATTTCATTACAAAATAACTATCCAAATGACAAAATAAATGTAAATAACTATCCGAATCTACATTCATTGACTTCGGTTTGTCTACCCTAGGTAAGCCCAAATAAGGTAAGACCACCCGATGACACTGAACAATAACACTGCCTGCTACGCACCACATCCATATATATCTTTGGTGCTGAGACATAATGTACAATTACCCCCAGTGAGGAGCTCTCGTCTGGCTTCAAATCCAAATGGCTCACATGGCGGAGCCTAAACAGACTGAGAGTGGGTCTCAGCAGATGCAACTCTCTCATGAAATCACGGTGGGGGGGGGGGGGGTGCTTCTGCACAACCGACTAATGTGCTTGGTCAGAAGAAGCAAACCATGGACCATCTCCTGAGATGTCCTTCAGCACCACAATGCAAGATGTGGCAATGCCAACACCAAGCGGTGGCCTGTGGAGAATATTGGGGAGAAAAACTACATAGGTTGGACAGGAGGCACGAAGAAGAAAATAACATACAACTTACTTTCTAATCACCAATCGCACTCAGACTATTGGGGTATTACGTTGAGAGGCGTAAAGAGTAACGCGTGGATTAAAGAACATAGGCGCGTTTTTTGGTTTTCTGATTAAGTTATTTAACTCAATCGGAAATAGTGCGTGAATTGGCTTCTGCGGTTGTTCGTTCGTATCTCCGTCTGCTTGGTCTGGTGAGGGTCGTGATGGCAGCATGCTGAGTAGGGCGATCCAGACCTCCCTTTCCCTGGCGACAGAGTCTAGCACTACATTACTATACACTTCACTTTCCACTACCATACACTACATTATACATTACAACACTATACACTACTCTACACTACACTATGCACTACTATACACAACTACACTATATACTACACTATACACGACTATACAGAGACTAGCTCTTCCTGGCGAATTCCCAGGCGTTCCCAGGCTAGCTGAGCGACAAAGTCCCACCAGCGTGTCCTGGGCCGGCCCCGGGGTCATCGCCCAGCGGCGATGGACACTAGCTTCTGTGGTTGTTTTTTTTAAAGCATGTTAAAGAGTGTGTGGCAGAATGGTGGTGCAGTGGTTCATTGCACTACCCCTACTTTAATTCCGCCATCTTGAGATTTCATTCTCGGGCAAGGCTAAACACGAGTGTCAAAAGTTGCTATCAGAACCGGCCCTGGGCCCCACCTTCACTGATGTAGCAAAGCACATGACAAAAACGGCCTCCACAACTGACACACATTGAGGAGACCTTGATCCAGCAGTAGATTGACAAAGAGTTGCATATTTGTGTTGTTATTATTATTATTAAATAGTGGCGAACACAATATAATGATGTTGTGTTAGGCAAACTAACTACCTGGCTGTCATTAAAAAAAACATAAAGACCTCATTTGTAATGTATTGAATTATGTATTGAATTACAGTAGTAGGAATAATTAATTAATTATTGGTAATTGTTGTCATATATGTACACCTGCATTTTTTTGTATCCCCTACAGTAAACAATGGAGACCACTGACTTGCTTGAGTATTTGGTGATTCCGACACTATACACCATTGTGGTCATTCTGGGCCTTCCCCTGAACCTCCTGTCCATGTGGATTCTCAGCAAAAAGAGGAAGAACTCCATGTCCATCTACATGATAAACCTCACAACTGCAGAACTGCTCTTTCTCTTCTGTCTCCCTATGAAAATCGGCTACCACTTCAATAAGAAGCGCTGGACACTGCCCGAGTTCATGTGCCACCTATACGTCATTCTGTTCTTCACCAACATTTACACGACCCCCATGCTGCTCGCAGCCATCAGCGTCGACCGCTACATGGCGATCGTGCACCCACTCAAGGACTCGGCATGGCGGAAGGCAAAGACTGCATCGCGCGCCTGTGTCCTGGTGTGGATTCTGACGACCATTCACATTATGCCGCTGAACGCTGTGACCATGCTCAATTACGTCAACGAGACGAATGGCAGCCAGCAGATGCGGGCGATGTGCTATGAGAAGTTCTCAGAGGACGACCTTCAGTACCTGACGACGTATCGGCTCTATTTGTTCTTCTCGCTCTTCGTCACTTCACTGGCCATAACGTTGTTCTCCTACGCAAACGTCCTGAAGGCTCTGATTGCAGGCAGAGAGCAGAGGTCAACAGCAAACCGGATGAAAAAGAACCGGGCTGCGAAAATGACTCTTGTGGGCCTCATAATTTACATCGTGTGCCTCACTCCGTACAACTCCACACACATTATAGGGTTCATACAAAGCAGAACTAATGGGTTCTACTGGCAAAGCCTCTCGCTGATGCGTGATATCGGTTTTTGCCTCAGCGCACTGAACACTCTCTTTGATCCGCTTATCGTCTATATTGCATCGTCCACATTCCGCCATTCCCTTAAAAGAATGTTCAGAAGATTGCCACCAAACAAAGTATCGATAATAATGACGTAACTCAATGAGGGGTTCATCTAGACTCCCTACATCCAATTAATCAATCATTAGTACCCAGTGTAACTACTTTAATAAAGGTAGGTCCACATAGATAGATATATACACGTCTATTTGCATCTATCTAATGCATCGCATCTATATATAAAAAGGGAAATTTGTGAAAGTGTGTCTGTTAAAAATGTTTTGCGTACTTCCCGACATGCAACACACTTGAAATTTGCCATGTGGGTACTTTCTAGACTGTACACCATGCAAAAATTATAAAAATAGACTTTTGTAAAAAAAATTGGGGGGGGGGGGGGCGTTATAATACATATATTTTGCACGGCAAGTGAGCTGTGACGTCACATCTGTCACGTGACCCGTATGCTGAATCGTAACCGGAGTCTGCCTGCTGATGTCCCCCCCACAACCCTCCGCGGGTAAAGTGAAATACAAATGTGTTGCAAGTGTAAGGCGTTCTTCACGCAGATTTGCTTATTATTTGAATCGTTTACTGCCGTACGCACCCTCAAAGTTGTGTGTCTGCAGCAAGCGCGTGTATGTGTAAGAGAGCGGTAGTGTAGGGGGTAGCGCGCTGCGCTACGAACCCGGCGACCCGAGTTCGACTCCAGCTCACGGCCACCACCGGTAACGAGTATTTAACTGCTCCTGGGCCTCCCCTAGTCTCAAACGAGTACGATAACTGGTGTGGTGTATTAACATCGCCACTGGGGAGACAAAGGCGGCCGGGCGTGGTGAATCCAAGTCCCGGGCGAAGCCTGGGTAGTAAAGCTAGTACATATATAAGTGTGAGTCTCGGACGAATATGTTAGTGCTCCAATATTATCGAAGCAAAGTTGGTTTTCACAGCACTACTGCATATAAGTAGTCCTAAGATGAAGGTTTCTTTACATAGAATATGCTTTATAGTGGTTGAGTAAAGATGTGCTGGAGATTATAAAGCCATGATTCAAGTGGTAGTCATTATTCCACTCGGAATAAGAATATAAAATGGGTGTTTTAGAAAACACTAAAAATTCCCTGCTCTTTAGCCAAACTAATTCTATTTTATCCAAACCGAGCCATTCTAATGCAAAGTGGTACAAACTGTGCAAATGGGACGTATATTCCTTTAAATTTGCTTCTTAGAATGTGACCTGCAAAGAAAGCATTTCCCTAATTCCATTTGTTGCTGAAAACATTAAAAACATTTTAACCCAGTCCTGAGTCTACTCCTGTATGTCCATACAGCTTTCAAAACTCACGCACACACACCTGTAATTGTGAACATATATGAACATACTCTTAGGTTTTTTCGGTAAAGTCACGTAGGTAAAAATAAATAATAGAAATAAAATAAATCACGACGTTTCGGAGGCAACAAAAGTCTCCGTCATCAGGTGGGACCGTCACAGCTAAATTTACTGTATCAAGTGAGGCTAAAAAAAAAACCTAAGAGTATGAATCCTTGCAGTCACGAAAGCTTCAAATCTATAATATATGAACATGTACACATGTATGCTGTAACAATTTAGCATACTTGAACACCTATGCACAATATATAGGCATGTATAATTGTATTCATATGTGTGTTGAGAATATACAGTGAGGGAAAAAATTATTTGATCCCCTGCTGATTTTGTACGTTTGCCCACTGACAAAGAAATGATCAATCTATCATTTTAATGGTAGGTTTATTTGAACAGTGAGAGACAGAATAACAACAAGAAAAATCCAGAAAAACGCATGTCAAAAATGTTATAAATTGATTTGCATTTTAATGAGGGAAATAAGTATTTGACCCCTCTGCAAAACATGACTTAGTACTTGGTGGCAAAAACCCTTGTTGGTAATCACAGAGGTCAGACGTTTCTAGTAGTTGGCCACCAGGTTTGCACACATCTCAGGAGGGATTTTGTCCCACTCCTCTTTGCAGATCTTCTCCAAGTCATTAAGGTTTCGAGGCTGACGTTTGGCAACTCGAACCTTCAGCTCCCTCCACAAATTTTCTATGGGATTAAGGTCTGGAGACTGGCTAGGCCACTCCAGGACCTTAATGTGCTTCTTCTTGAGTCACTCCTTTGTTGCCTTGGCCGTGTGTTTTGGGTCATTGTCATGCTGGAATACCCATCCATGACCCATTTTCAGTGCCCTGGCTAAGGGAAGGAGGTTCTCACCCAAGATTTGACGGTACATGGCCATGTCCATCGTCCCTTTGATGCGGTGACGTTGTCCTGTCCCCTTAGCAGAAAAACACCCCCAAAGCATAATGTTTCCACCTCCATGTTTGACGGTGGGGATGGTGTTCTTGGGGTCATAGGCAGCATTCCTCCTCCTCCAAACACGGCGAGTTGAGTTGATGCCAAAGAGCTACAATTTGGTCTCATCTGACCACAACACTTTCACCCAGTTGTCCTCTGAATCATTCAGATGTTCATTGGCAAACTTCAGACGGGCATGTATATGTGCTTTCTTGAGCAGGGGGACCTTGCAGGCGCTGCAGGATTTCAGTCTTTCACGGCGTAGTGTGTTACCAACTGTTTTCTTAGTGACTATGGTCCCAGCTGCCTTGAGATCATTGACGAGATCCTCCCGTGTAGTTATGGGCTGATTCCTCACCGTTCTCATGATCATTGCAACTCCACGAAGTGAGATCTTGCATGGAGCCCCAGGCCGAGGGAGACTGACAGTTCTTTTGTGTTTCTTCCATTTGCGAATAATTGCACCAACTGTTGTCACCTTCTCACCAAACTGCTTGGCGATGGTCTTGTAGCCAATTCCAGCCTTGTGTAGGTCTACAATCTTATAACATTTTTGACATGCGTTTTTCTGGATTTTGTTGTTGTTATTCTGTCTCTCACTGTTCAAATAAACCTAACATTAAAATGATAGACTGATCATTTCTTTGTCAGTGGGCAAACATACAAAATCAGCAGGGGATCAAATACTTTTTTCCCTCACTGTACAATATCAATGATTTCCTGCTTAAATATAAATGTGGCAGGGCCCAATCCTGTTGGTTCGCTGAGCAAAAGAGAAGAAAATGTCACAGTCGTGTGGTGTGAATTCAGCCTTTCCATCGGACAGAAAATATTAATGCTCCACAAAGTACCCTTTATATACCCCAGCGGAATGATGGGTTGAATCCGTTCCCTAGCAAGGCTTGAACTTAAAACAAAGTAATTGGGATTTCAACACTCAACAACAGCATCATCACGCCTGCCTATATAACAACAGGAATTAGCCACTAAGTGGCGGTGACGTCAACAAGGCGCTTGTGCCAGGCCAGGTGCACTTTAAGGCCACGTTAAGTGTCAAACACCCGCTGGCAAGAGGTCACGGGACAGACCGAGGTGCTATGGGTTGACTGACATTAGTGCACTCCTCTGATACCATTGCACACAAAAGTTGCAGTGGAGGTTCTGAAATGTGCGGGACAATTCCACAGTTGTGGAGCTATTCGTGGGACCAATCTGCAGAATGTTAAATGGTTCTCATGAACACACTTGTTCACGTGTGCAAAACAATACTGGGTAGTGGTGGCACAGTGGTGGGTAGCATTCTGAACTCCGAACCTGGGAACCCGATGTCAATTCCCAACCTATCCTGAGCCTTGGCAGGCCAAGTCTGAACCTGTCCTGAGTCTCCCCCAGGGTTGACTCGGCTTTCTTTGTGTGTGTGTGAGTGACAGATGTGAACCGGTTTATTGAGCCCTGTCCAGGGGCAGTAAATTGGGCCTGGCGCCGTGACTCTGTAATGGAGTTCTGTGCCCAGCCGCTGTCTACAATGACTCTCAACTGTGGTACAAATATGGGATTTGACAATTTTACAGCACACAAAAAAATATTTTAAAATAAGCATTAGGGGAAGTTGGTCTGTGGGAGGTTTCTACTTCTGGAACTTTCCACCACAGAAATTTCCATCCATTTTACAAATGTAGCCAAATGTCTGTTCTTTTGGGCTTGCATTATTTGTTTTATGTGTATTTAAGTTATTTCCTCATCTGTGGAACCCTTTGTACCAGTGTTAAGATGATATAATGAAAATTCTTTACTCTTTCCGGAAATAATACTTCAGGTGTTAAGATGTTCAAACACAGTGGCGGCTCCTGCAAAATCTCTCAGGGGGGGCAAATGTCTGGATGATTGATAAGGATAAGGTCCACCCATGCAATGGATAAATTAACAGCTTAAGCATGTAAAGGCAACTTCACTTCTTTAATATTAATGAAAAATAAAGTGACTCTTACAATACATCTTGTTTGTTTATATACTCACTATTAAAACAAACCACTCAAGTTTATTTTATTAAAGATTCCACTAGGTGGCGATCAATTATATTGTTGGATGAAACGTGCTTACGTATGATGACGTTAGCACGTATGATGACGTAAGCACGTTAGTGCATGCCCTCCCGGAAGCCATAGAGAATGCATTGGAGCGCCCCCGTTCGAAAAAAAACATCTTTGAATGTAAGTCTATGGGGCCACTCGGGGCGATTCTCAGCCGGAGTGAAATCGCCCAAAAAGAGGCGGTACTCCACAGAACGTGACATGACGCTGATTGGACTATATCCAGAGGCTGACAGTGACTGCTAGCGTGACTCTGTGGTTGAATGACATTGGTGGTGCGTCGCCTAATCGTCCTAATGAAGAAACCGCCTCTGTTCAAACACCAAATAAACGCACCTATTGCAAAGCATGAAGTCTGAATTAACCACACATACTTGTGGTAAAATATGCAAACTAAATATGCTTTCATAATGTATTCATGGTCCTTAAAACTGACTGGCCTATACCAGACAGCCTCCTTTATGGCTTTTTCTCGCCGGTGCGTGACCAGAGAACGCGAAAAGGTGACCAGCACAAGGACGATGAAAACGTCAACGCATTAATAACCCAGGTTAAGCTGTTTAGCTATATGATCACTTTTCCCAGTATAAATACTGGGGAAAAGGTTTGCATTGTCCTTGTGCTGTTTGCCTTTTGCCATTCTCTGGTCTAACACTAGTGAGACGAGGCCATAAAAAAGGCTGTCTTTGGTGTAGGCCAATCAGTATACATAATTATCAAATCATTTTATTTGCATGTTTTACCACAAGTGTGTGTAGTAAATACAGACTTGATAGCTTGTAATTATTGCCAGAAATTATAAAGCCTTTTTCGTCTATATTTCTGAAGTTATTTGTTAAGAATGGGAATTTTTCCATCATGGGCAGTGCCTTACACTAATTATTTTTAACACACATTGTCATCAAAAGAGGGAGGAAACAGGACGTCTTTGCATACCTTCTTAATACCCACAAGAGTAAAGACCATTAACTCGGGTATTTTCCTCAATTTTATTTAAATATCGCTCACCGTAACATCTGTTGTAAGGCAACAGTGACAGGGGGCGCGAGCTCAGTGGTGTCCAGCCGCACTGTGCGTGCAGTCGCGTGCCTCGCGTGGGGCAGGCAGGGGTGCCTTGGCACCTCCTGGTGGCCAAAGCTATGAGTTGGGAGCCCACTTGACAACCAACCATGAGATATGTTTTCGACAACAGTGTAAAAAAAAAAGAAACGTATTTAAAAAGCAGTTTAAATTTATTTTTTTATGAAAATGCCTTCATTTATGTTTCACATTTTATTTTTGCCGCACTCCCTGAGCTGATAATGCAGTTACCACGCCACTGTGTGCATGCATCGGCTCAAACAAATTGCCTCTCACACCTTACGACTGGAATGGAAATACTGCCACCTGCAAGTCATGTTGACGATGATGGCAGCAACACAACCATTTATACATAATATCTAGACATGCATTTTTAACATGACGTCTAGGTTTACCTTGGATCGTCAGATACAATCTGTTCTCCTATAATGCTGCGTGTTGTTTTCATAACGCGAATTGGATATAACGCGATTAATGTGTATTCGGGAACACTTTTTTTTATATATGTTGTGTAGGAAGAACGACGCTGAAGCCAGTCGTGTAGGGGCTGACGCCGAACTGTTTATTTAAGGGCTCGCGCCTAACTCGGGGGAAGGGCTTAACACAGGGTTATTACCAATCTCCCCAGGGGAAGGGTACTGGGAGTTTCCTACACCCCACCAGGCTATCAGGCTCTTCCCACAGCACTGACCGAGGGTTCATCCAACTCGTCCAGCCGGGTAAAGCAGCCCCCCTTTAGCCTGGCTCTCAATCCTGGAGCCCCCTACTCCCCTACCACTCACTCTCTTGGCTCTCCGCGAAGACCTCGTCTACGTCACGGGGTCTTCCCTCAAATACCCCGGGTGGCATGACCGTCACTGTTCCTTGACGGCATTCCCCCCGAGGCGAGTGTGACCTGACGTCAGCACTCCACTCCTCAACATATATATAACGCGAATGCGAATTGGATACGACGTGGCTGCCTCGGTGTAGCATCATCATCATCGCACGAGGCAGCGGGATGCTGCTGGATGCTTCTAGATGCTTCCCACGCTCCTCAGTCTTTGTTCGGCCTGCGTGCGCATCTCACGCGTTAACGCGGACTGTGCTTTACCCTCCCTCTATTATATATTATTTAACGCGATTGTTCCATAACGTGGTGTTCTTCAGGAACGCAACTACCGCGTTACAGGAGAACAGACTGTGTGTGTGTGCTGAGCTTAACCGTGAAATTGCTTTAGCGATAAGTTTGTTGTCCTTTCCCCCGCACCTCCGATTAGCTCGGTTGGCTACGTACGATGCAAAAGAAGTTCAACATGCTAACATACATACAAACGAGCCAGCACCCAAAGAAAATTAAATGCCTTTATCTGTTATGGTAGGGTGCAACTTTGCAAACTTTCACCAATGCTGAACAACTGCTTTCGGTTGAGAAAATGAAGCCCGTGATATTTACCCCGATATGTTGAGGGCTGCAACCTGATTTTCCTTAAATTTGCACTTTAAAACGTTAATCAGCCATTTGCGAAGAGAAGGCGTGGCGATGTAAATGATGAGCACGTCGAAGAGGCTGTTGAGGGCGTTGAGACAGAGCGTGATGTCTCGCAGCAAAGCGATGGTGTGTCCCGAAAACGTCGTCGATTTGCTCTGCAAGAATCCCACGACGTGGGTGGAGTTGAACGGAGTGAGACACACCACGTAAATGAATAAATTCACAGCGGTGACCTTAGCCGCCCTCATTTTTTTCTCGCGGCTCACGAGCTCGGTTTTGCCTTTACTGTTAATGAGTACTTTGAGCACATTTCCGTAGGCGAATAACACCGTGAGGACCGATAAAAGATAGAGGGAAAAAAAGATGTACAGCCTGTAAGGGATTAACAAGTCGTACTCTTGTTTGCTGAAGATCTCGTAGCACCGGAGGACAGGCGCTCCGTTGACATAGGTGGTATTGTCGTAGTTGAGAACGGTGACAGAGTTTACGGGCACGTTGTGGATTGACGTTACGACCATCACCACGAGAGACACGCGCCACGCAGTCCTCGGATCACGCCAACGCGAGATCCACAGCGGATGCACGATGGCCAGGTAGCGGTCGACGCTGATGACGGCCAGCATGATGAGCGTGAAGTAGGTGTTGGTGAAGAAGAAGATGACGTACAGACGGCACAGGATTGTGGGGAGGGTCCAGTTATTCATTTGGGTGTTGTAGTAGATTTTGAATGGCAAGAAGAGCAGGTAGAACAGATCCACCATGGCGAGCGTCAGCAGGTAGATTGACGTTGAGGTCTTCTTCTTTCGGCTCAGCATGACGACTGCCAATCCGTTCAGGGGTGCCCCCAGCGCCACTATTATCGTGTAGATTGCTGGAATCATCCAGTACTGGTAAACAGAGTTATCCATTTTATTTGTTCAAGTGTGATTTTTTTTTTATTGCTGAAAAAAAACAGAACGGCGAAGAACGACGATGAGATAAAACCTGGAAGGGTGTGGATGAAACTTACAAAGAAAAAGCAAGCGGACGAAAGGAATTAAAATTTAAGCTGATAGATACTCATAAAGCAACATTTTCGTCACTTTCCATTGGCCAAAATAGTCCTTAATCAATCAACAAAATATGATGCGCAAGCAGGGAATTAAAAAATATTTTACCAGGATTAATGCTGCCATTAAACCCTAAGAGTGCACGTATATAGTGGGCTACGAGACAAATAACATCCATTCGGATCTCTTACACAGCCGTGTTAACCCTTCGACGTTCGAGATCATGTCTCACGGAAGCAGACACCACGGAGCTACCTCCTAGATCCCTCTGAGCAGTGCCCGATTAAGCTAACGCGGGGCTTGTAGCATATGTTATAAAGGGACCCTAAATTTAAAAAAACATGGCAAAATATTTTTTTTCCATTTGCTATACAGCCACAGATAATACGATAAATCGCTAACCTTAAACACCCAGTCGTTAATAAAAGTTGATTGGCAGTATAGTACTATAGTAATAGAGCAAGTGCAGAATCACTGAACCGGAATTGATAGCTTGAAAGCATTTAGCGCGGGGCCCTTGAAAGTGCGGGGCCCGCAGCATATGCTACTTTTGCGACGAGGATAATCCGCCACTGCCTCTGAGTGAGCTCAGATTCACACCCAGTAGAGGGCGGCATTTTCCCACATCGCACCGCTGCAGAAGGCAATCTCAGAATTGGAAAGTGAGGCTGTGAGATGACCTCCAAGCGGCCAACAAGTTTACGCTGTATTATGATTACGCGTATGCACCCAGGAAAGCCTCACTGATTGCTCTTTTTCAAGAGGGTCCTACCAAGATGTTACAGTTGTAGTGCACGGTAATGTTGCTCCGCGTATTCCAATGGACTGTACCTGCGGGTCATTTTATAAATGTGGAAAATCGTGCCATTGTGTCTGTTCACTTACCCACTTGTTATCCGCTCGTTTGCGTGAATTTAATCTCCTCGTGTGCGTGCAATTTAATCCAGGTACTCGTATTTTCTTTCTGTATGTAAAATAATAATTATTAATACCAGTCTTTAGATTCAGTTAAGCTTTCCTTGGTAGTACAAGAAGCAGCATCATTAGAAGCAGCAATGGCAACAGCATCATCATCAGCATGACCATTATAAGTGGACACAGCATTATGATCAACAATCATCAGATACAAAATAATCTTGCTCAGATCTTTTGCCATATAGTAGAACTTCTGGTTATGGCCAAACGTTGAACTCCACTATCACCCACAGGAAAGTGCCAGTAATAATATGGATGTAATGCCTCTTTTGAGCTTTTGTTACATTTTCTTTGCAGGATTCACGTTTCTGATCCATCTGTCAAAAGGTAAACGGCTCCAGTGAAACATTTTCTTCTTGAGGCGCATTAGTTGGTTCATTACTCTCCATCATGAACTCCAGTTTCACGAATAACTGCGACCATAATCTCATCGGCCTCCCTATTCCATCGTCGTTTGTCTGCCTTCATTAACTTCTCCAATCGTTTAGTAAGCCTGTTGTACTGTACATGGCTTCCAATGGGAACGCACTGCGGGACATGTTAGAAGCACCTTCTTTTTCCAAAGAAGGAACTGTCGCAATGAGATTGGGGCGACGAGGGCGGTAAATGACACATCAGAAGAGGAAGCGGACACTGCAATTGCCTGATTCGCTGTCACCAAGCTGAAAATCTGAACCGATTTTGGCAGAAATAAAAGCGTAAACGTGCAACAGAGGGGGGTTTTGCCATCTCAAATTTTCCGAAGATGCGATTATTTCAACAGGCATGACATCTTATTACGAGAGTTTGTTGAAGAACTTCGAAAATATGGCTGCAATGTTGGGCTAAAGATAAATATCAGCAAAACAAAAGTCTTTATATTTTTTTTTGTTTATTTCACCAGGTAATGCCCACTGAGCTACATAGCTCTTTTTCAGAAGCGGCTTGGCCACAAATGATAGCTAAACAAAGTGGCTTATTGCGTGGAAATGTATAGCAGCCAAATACTCTAAACGCATGTTTCGAAATGTGGAGGGAAAAAACAGGAGGACCGGGAGAAAAATTCACGCGACCACGGGGAGACACACAAACTCCAAATATACAGGCGTCAGGGTCAAGATGGAACCCATGACCTCTTGTATACCAGGCGAGGTAGTTAACATCTCACCACCGTGGTGCCCACAAGTCATCTACAACAAGCTCTGGCTTAATCTCACCATATTAACTGAGGCTTTTGGCTTCGTGATCCTGCCCTCTGGGTATGCTCCTCTCCAATGCATGGCATCAGGCCTAACTCCCTCCTGCACAAATCCATTGTACTACAGAGCCTAACGTCACCAATTACATTAGTCATTATTTCCTGCCATTTTCTCGTCTGAACTTTCCAGTCTATAACCACAGCTCCCTCTGTATGCGCCAGAAGCTTCCTAACAGCTCTTTGACCTATAAAGCAACACGTACATTTCTGGTGTCCGAAATAGCAGCGTTTCAAGTTTCTAGTCTTTGAACTTGGATAATCAAGGCTATAAGAAGGTCTCTTTACATTCGACATGATTCTAGTGATGCCATTCTTGATGACAGGCTGGGAGATGTTAAGAACAAAGGGTAAAGGGAGGCATAAGGAGGATAGGCAATATGAGTAGAGTCAGACATCAGGATGCCATTCCTGAAAGGAAAACATATGATTGGTGACGTTTCGGTGACTGGCCCCTCTACATAGCACAATAAATGTTTCGTTTGTGTGTATTTGTGTCTGTATACAATGGAGTATCACCTTTGTTTGATTTTGAGAGAAAAAATTGTTTAGTTGGTATTTCATGTGGTCGGAACTGAATTGATTGCTGATGAGAGTTTTAATTCCTGAAGCACGTACAGTGAAATGTCAGATACTTCATGTCGAACAACGCGCGGTACAACCTGAAAGCACATCGGAGAGAGAAGAGACTTGGAGTCTTGATGGCGACTCGCCTGCTAAATAACGGCTATCATTCATTCAAACAAATCAATCATCTGTCTTCTTCTATCGTCTGATTCCCTTCTTGATAAACATTTGTGGTGTGAATGTAAAACAAATTAAAGACTTGCCCCACAAATATAAATGGCAAAGTCATATAAACACGTTTAAAAAAAAAAAACATATTTTACTCCATTCCCTGGAGCCAGATTCGGTCAGTTCTTTTGTGGATTAAATTAAACTTATATTATCAAAACAATTACGTGTCATTTTGAACTAAATCTTGCTCCAGTATATACTATCTAGACTGCAGATAGTGTTTAGCTAAGTTGAGCATTAAAACAAGGAGCTAATACTGTATAAGATTTGCCAAGTTAAATATTCAACAATCTTTTAAAATCTCTGTAAGCCCATATAATATTTATGCAATCATCGGCAACTGCTAAGATTAACAATCTTACTGAATGGCGAGCCATTTTATTCAAAATTAAAAACCAACTTTTGCATGAATTCTAGATACTGCAAGTACTGATTGATTCGCCTGCCGTAAAAAAAAAAGTATATCCTTCAGCCACCAAGCCATTGCAGTTTATTTCAACGCCATCATTCGAAGCAAAAAAATATCCAATGCAAGTCTCTATAAAAGAACCATTTAAAAATGTCATGTGATATACGCACCGAACATTACCTTTGATCAATTATTATTCCCCATGGCCGCGCTTTCTGCGGTCATCACACCTTCTGCGCGGCTTCGACACGGACGGCACTTCCTATTTTATAAAATATATTTTAATTGAATGCTCGGGTTAACACAACAGTCATTGTCCACTTTGCAAGCGCATTTAAAATAATTCCACACTAGGCAAACAAACTCCGCGAGCGCACGCGTGCCCCGGGCGAGAATCATCGAGTCATCACTTGCGCCCCGGGGTGCCCGGTTTGTAGCCACCATCTCCAACTCGCGATGCTCAGCACAAAAAAAATGCAAGTGAGCACGTGCGCTTACTCACGTTGCCCACGCTTTGTCTTTTGATATCACATCTGGCGTCATCTCCTGAATAAATACCAGGCGTGTTTATGCGGTTACGTAAGAGATCGCGTCGCAAAAAAGCTGTGAGACGTTCTCTTTCTTCTAAGTCTGTCATGTGTTTTGTAAAGATGACTGATTAGTGTCCATCGCTAGCGCATCATTTATAAAGACCTCTCTGAAAGCAAAGGCCAGGGCCATGCGTAAGCAGACAGCCGGTTGTCAAAGCTGTACACAATGCGGGGACAATTCTAATGTTGTCATTGCTACTCGCGGTGCTCTCCTGTGCTGTCGTCTGGGTGGAATTGTTTCGCTCCCCTATAGCTAAATCCAATGTAAAGTGTGAAAGTATAAGTGCTCTAATTTATAAGCAATGTAATAACTTACAAAGTATAAAGTTAGATTTTGTATTCACCCCTTTTAGTATCTTGTCTCTAGCAAACATTTTTTTTAAATGCTGCAGGCTGCAATATCATCATCGAGCCATAATCCATACACTACCTCTCCACGTCATCTCCATCCCACGCAGACTTGTGATGCCACAATCCATCTCGCTCCCGTACACTAGATAATCTCATTGCCGCATCTCCACAGTTCGTAACACTCTTGGATGTGTTTTTCCTCCTTTATACTGCCATTTCATCACCAGTCTATTCTGCTATTTTCAATTCGTGCAGTGTGTCCTGCCCGAGCCCATTTACTTTTTGCTTATGTTGTATGATTCATGTATATATGTTGAACTTATTTCGCACCGTACATAGCCAACCGTGCTAATCGGAGGTGCGGGCGAAGGAAATTGGAGGTGTATGCAACTCTCTGTATATGTGTTTATGCGCTTCAGATGTTTTTTTATTTATTATGTCAGTGTCCATTTTTGGATAATTCTGAAATTCTTAAGTTGGTGCTTGAAAATCAAGTAAATTTTTATATCTATGGGACCCTTTTCGCCAGTATCAAGATGATGGAAGAATGAATAAACTTTACCCCTTCCGACAGGAACACCAAATAGACACCTGTCACTAGGCATCAAGTCTGCACGTGCTCGTGGTAAAAAAAATTTAAAAATTCATCAAGTACATTTTACGATTCTTCGGGCTTTTCCGTGCTCATTTTCTAGCCTAATTCTTTTGTGTCCATTACTTTAATATCTCTGCTGGCCGAGAACTCTATGAGATCTCATTTCACCGATGCCAGACCAATCGTTCTCTCATCTCTTCTCCTTCAGCTGGCATTGAAGTCTTCCTTGACGATGGTGGAGTATCTTTGCCGTTGTTGAAGACTCGGTTAATGTATTCATGCATTTGATCTACTCTAACATCATCCTCATCATGGCTTGCTGATGCATGTCAAAATGAGTGCTCCCAAAATGCATGTATTCGCAAATATTCCTGTTTTCTATAATGAAATACTGTAGTTCAATTTATCTTCAAGTATGTCAGATGCACAGTTGCCATGTTGTTGACACCTGCCCATCTTCAATACTCGGTGCCCTTTGACCTTGACAATCATTCACACCTCTGATGAGCACGGTTGGCAATGTATGGTGCGAAATAGATTCAACATACTGTACACACATATACATTCACAGACGAGTGGCTTTTCAATGCCATCTCTACACCCCGGTGCTACGTAATAGCCTCGAGCCGCCTGCATCGATGAGTGCGAAACATTAGAGAGGGACAGCGTCCTTGGAATAATCTCAGTGACAAGGCACGCAGGATGTGTACAGTCTGTAAGGTACACAGCCCCAGCAAAGGGTGCAAAGCAAAAGCGTGCTCACCGCAGTGAGACTCGCGTCTAGCTGCGAAGATTGTTTCTTGTTGTTGTTTTTGTGTGTGTGTCTTCCTTTGATTGTGTTGAAACATTAGTAGTTACCTTCCTGTACTTTTAAGTACCGTAATTTATGTTATACGGGATTTTTTAAATGGCGGCCATGGTTTTAAATTTCCAAAGTCCTAATTTTGAGGTTTAAAAAGCTCTTGTCATGCAAACTCTTACATGATGTACAACATTTTACAAGAATTAAAAGTAAAAAAGCTGAAGAAAAGGTGACTCAAAGTTTAAAAAACTAGAAAATAGTTTGTTGAAATTTGAGCACCAGCGTCTGAGATGAATTCTGGGAATGGTGTGGCAAGAGAAAGATCATCAAAGCAGAAGTCTGGAAGAGAACGTGACAGGTGTTTCTTGGAATTGATGAGGATATAACAATAGCACTGGGTAGGCCAGCGGAATCAGAATCCAGTGTGTTCTCCTGTACCGCGTGTTTTTCATAACGCGAATTGTATATAACGTGATAAATGTTTCCGGGAATGCGAATTGGATATAACGCGATTGAGTGAATGGAACTACATCGTGCAAGTAGGAATAAGCAGTTGTACGGCTGCCTCGGCGTAGCACCATCATCGCACAAGGCGGGATGCTGCTGGATGCTTCTAGATGCTACCCACGTGCCTCAGTCTTTGTTCGGCCTGCGTACGCATCTCACGTGTTACCACAGACTGTGCTTTACCCCTATATTATATTATTTATTATAACGCTATTCTTCCATAACGCGGTGTTCTTCAGGAACGCAACAACTACCGTAATAGGAGAACAGACTGTATTTATGTATTCATAATAAAGGGTTTTAGGTTAGATCGCGTAGGTATGTGTCGTACCCCTCCACCACCTGACACGGCCAGTAAGGTTTGCCACGTAAACAACGCGCCAATTAGTTATTACTTCAGCCCATCGGTGTGCTGGAGAGTAAATCCACAATATTTACAATTTGAATACGATTCTCTGGTAATTACATCCAGCTTCATCGGGCAATTATTATTAATAATATTCATTGCAAAAGCCTACGTGCCAAACTGTATTTATTTACACCTGAGCAATCCGCTGAGCTCTCAAGCCCTTCTTTTACAGATGTCCAGTCGCAGGTCATGTGTGCGGCAATGGCAGAGGGCCATCTGTTGAGGCGGGCCTTGGAGCGGTCTCCACGAGTCCAGCGATCAGGGGGAGAGGGGAAGGACCTAAGACGAGATGGTGGGAGACTGCGAGGTGGTCGCTGCATGTCGACTGTGCAGCCGCTGTGGAGGCCTGGCGGATGGCGGAAATCGTTGACGAGGAGCGGTGGCATCGGCGGAGTCGACGGCTTTGGCCGGCGACGACGTCTTGATGAGAGAATTTAATTCTGCGCTAGAATTTGCACGCGTACTGCATAACATCGCACATTAAACCAGCCCTCTACCGTTCACACTGAAATAACTCACCTCACCTCAAATAAGCATGACTTTTTTATTATTCCTATAAAGCTGTTAAGGCAAAATAGCACGTGTGTACACTTTTTTTCTGTTACATAAAAGGCAAATAAATACATTTTAAACAAAATAATATTTACATCATTACATCAATAATTGAGCTGTTTGAGGCGTTTTCAGTTAAACATTATATTCACGTATCTGTTTATGCACACGCACGTGTTTTGATTTTCATGTTACCAATACATCCCTTTGTATATACAACATGCACGTACTATGCAATCGCGCCCTTTTTGTCGATCCACTGCTGGACGAAGGCCCAACTGAACGCAAAGGTCAATAGGTCAGAACGCAGTCGTGCCACACTGCTGCTTCGAAGCAAAACGGGGCACCTTTTGGTCATTTATGGTGCATTAGAAAGGAGGAGTATAGATAGGGTGCTGGGCACGTGCACTTGTTCAGAACGGAGGGTGGCAACATTGAGATAGAGAAAATAACTTCACCATTGCGTTGCCTCAAAAAGAACGCCGCATTTCAAGAAGGGAAATACTGTATATTGACAGTATTTAGTTTGCGGATATTTGGTCGTGAAGATAACCAAAAAGCATACAAATCTATACATACGTTGATGTTGTGTTTTGATACCTTAAATATGGAGATGTATATATACTGCATCGTGTATCACTATGAGATCATAAAAATGCTTCATTGGAGGTGCATAAAACGGCATATGCTTGTCTCTATCCTGTTTATTCCAAACACCAAATGCCACCTTGCCAACCCACGATTTGATAAAATCAGGGGACTTCAATCAATCAATCTGCATTTTACTTGCCAACGTCGCCCTAAAAAAAGTAGGCACCAGTGCAGACTTGAGTTTGAAATGACGAGCTGCAGATAACGTTGAGTTTGGATGAATCTGAGTTTGATTACAATGGTTTTCGTTGTTGTGAACATGAGCAGGAATATCGTTTTCCCTCCCCTAGTGTGCGAATCTTGATAGGCCACAATGGAGTACACAAGGTAAAGGCGCAGGGCTGCAGCTCCATGATCACGTCACTTCTGGCAGAAGGCCCTCCACCAGAGACAGCTCCAGAGAGCCCCTTTGAGGGATACATGTTCGTCATGGATAGACGTGGGAGAACCCACACACTTTAATTCTAGACTTGAAGCTTTCGTGACTGCAAGGAATCATATTCTTAGGTGTTTTCGGTAAAGTCACGTAGGTAAAACATCAAAATTAATAAAATAATATTTTTATTTTATTATTTTATTAATTTTGATGTTTTACCTACGTGACTTTACCGAAAACACCTAAGAATACCACACACTTTACCCCACCATAGGTGAGCTCTTGGTCGACTAACTGTGGCTGTACCCCTTTATATTGCTGGGTGGACGAAGATACGGGGGATTTAAAAAACTTCGCCATTCGTTTAAACTCCCACGCGAGCACAGCGAGATGACGATCCCTGGATTGCAAGTCCAGTGCGCTAACCTTGACACCACAACAGCATCCCACGTAAATATATCGTATTTGAAAGAAATCCGCGAGGTTGCTTTGTGATCGGCTGACTGTGCATCGACAAAATTCAGCCATCGGCGTGTTGCCGATTGGTGTCGGAGTGCTTCAGGACAGCACATTCATCTTTTCTCGACACAACCAGCATGAGCATGTGCTATATCCTGTTTAAAACCCAGTGGAGATGATCAAACATACAAATACTCGTATATCACATTGCATTAAAAGACGTGGAAGTATTCAGTTCTGTTCTTCATCTATGTGTTAAATATAGGACAAATTGAGGTTCTGATCACCTCCAGGCGTCAGTCCTACTACGATTGGTTGCTCAAATCGGGTGTAGCTTTTGTAAATTTCAAATAGAAATAAAATGACGGTACACCTTTCCCTTTCCAGGACACATTTGTCTTCAACGACCTCTCCCATTTATGACCGCGGGACATCGTTCCACTGCCGTGTGACAACGTCAGAATGCCGGCATCCTTAAGTACAAAAACTAGAGTTGTTGCAAGAAATATAATAAAACAATTCACAGAGCTATACAGTATCACATGTCACGATAAGCGGACGATTATCGCAATATCATACTCTTAGTTCTTTCGGTAAAGTCACGTAGGTAAAAAATGAAATAAAAATTTATAAAAATAAAACAATAAAATCACGACGTGTCGGAGGCAACACGCGTTTGTTATTTAATAAATATTTTGTCAGAAAACAGGATTCTTCGAAAAATAAAATGAGCAACAGTAATATTCAGATACAATAATTGGCAATACGATGATCGTGAATCTTAATATATAGTAATATACGATATATAGTCATATACTTCGTAGCATTGCCTTATTGCAACAAACCCTGAACAATTACATGTTGGAAAATGATAAGCTACTTGACTCATTCAACGACAGTTTGTTAGGAAATTTTCATTCAAATAGGTTTGCTTATTTCTCCAACCCAACCCATTGATTGTAAAGTGCATTCTCCTGCTATAAATCACTTGGTCTAACTGCCCTCTCTGCCTATGCAACAAGACTCCAGACTGAAACGTTCACCGAATGTCTCCATGTTGTGTGTTGTGTTCCTGCCAAGTCGCCCGATGAGATGCTGTATGTACTTGCCAGGGAAACGTCACAGCACTCAAATTGGAAATGTTAATTTACTCTCCAACACACCTCTGGGCTCAAGTCGTAATTATCACGTTTTGTTCACGTGACAAACCTTACTAATTGGCTGTCGGGTGGTGGCGGGTTAATGACACTTTTATACTCACGCGATCTAACCCCTACACCTTTATGAATAATATTGGTCGCGAATGCCTACGCGTCAAATTGTGTGTTATTTTGCCGCTCAATCTGTGCATGGAGAAGTGAAGTCTCCGTTCTCTGGGATCGTGCCCATCAATTTATCACTTTTGGTGTAAAAGTCACCTGCTGAGAATCACTTTAGCATCGGTTCATATTTACAGCTTTGCTCAGGATCCCATCCGATCCTTCTCTGCATCTAGACCTCTACGAAAGCAGCTGTTCTCAGAGAGCAGTCCCCGGTACCACCGGTGAGTGGTCCGCAACAGTCCTCCACGTGGTCCACGAGGCTGTGATGCAAACGCAGAGGTTGATCCGGATAATATTATATTGTTTCGGACATGAATTTATATTTTACTCATGTTTAATTAAAGAAATGAAATTAGGTAAACTACGCTGATTAAACTACCCTAAATCTAAGATCTAAATGCCCTGCCCCCCTAAAAAATGTATGTTCTGGTAATATGAAATGTTTCTTATTCGTGATATTTAGAGATAAGTGAATGCGTCTTGTCACCAGGGGTGGGGGGCTGTGTAGTCCGTGTAAATGTTCACATTAGCTGAGTGGCCAAATAATTTTGAGAACTACCCCACTCTACGATGACTGTCTGACTGTAATGTATCAATTTATATGTAATTATTTGTTGTATTCATAAATTTAAGCATTGAGGGGGAATATCCAAACCCAAAGAAGTCCACCATTGTCCAAGGCATTTGCAAACGGTGAAATGTATCTGGGCCCTGTTGTATTTACTGTTATAGATGTTCAGCTTCGTTGAACAAACCGGTAGATACTGAGGGATTGTCTTTAAACTCGCAGTGTTTCAGTTTAACAAGCGACTATAACCAGGAGGCGTAACCTTGAAAATAACGAACGTCAATGTCGAGCGACACCCGCAACTGAATTGTGTGTGTGTGTGCAACAGTCAGTTTGAAAATGCAGAAGTTCTAAATTTCAAGGATTGCAGAGTAAGGTTCGTTATTTATAACAAATGTCATAACCTCCTACTGACAAAACTCAACGAGGGTATATCTTAAAATTGAGGGTGCTGCTTTGGCGAGATGTTAACTACCTCGCCCGGTATACAGGAGGTCGTGGGTTCGATCGCGACCCTGATGCTTGTAAATTTGGAGTTTGCATGTTCTTCCGTGGTCCGGTGGATTTTTCCCTCCACGTGATAAACCACGTCGTTGAGCTATTATCTGTGATAGCCAGGTCGCTTCAGAAAATGAGCTTTAAAGCTCAGTGGGGCCTACCCTGGTAAAAGAAAAAATACAATTAGTTTTGCTTTAGTTTAGAAAATTTCCTAAGCCAGGAGGAGAAATATATATTTGTTTAAAAATATTATTAAGAGATGCATTCAGAAGACATGCGAGATAGATGTATTCACAGGAAAGATAAGAGATGCATTTTAATTAGAGAAAATTATATCGTCTTCTTAGTTCTTTCGGTAAAGTCACGTAGAAGGGAAGTAATAAAATAATAAAAATAAAACATAATAAAACAATTCTCACGACGTTTCGGCCACAACGCAAGCAGCCGTCCTCAGGTGAAAACCAGGTCCGTCGAGGCGACAGAGTCTGAATGAAAAAAAACTCTGTCGCCTCGACGGACCTGGTTTTCACCTGAGGACGGCTGCTTGCGTTGTGGCCGAAACGTCGTGAGAATTGTTTTATGTTTTATTTTTATTATTTTATTACTTCCCTTCTACGTGACTTTACCGAAAGAACCAAGAAGATGAATCCCTGCAGTCACGAAAGCTTTAAATCGAAAAATAAAATTATATCGATTGAAATGTATTCAAATAAGGAAGAAGGTAAATTCTAGGCGATATTTTCACTGCATTGATACGAGATAGGAGAGCTCTTCATAACGCATAGAGAAGAGAGATATAGGGGCAGAGATGGGAAGACATATTATAGAATGTACTGCATTCATAATTGTTCTACTTGTGCACTGCCACTATTTAACTATACTTTACAATACTGGCTCGAGAGAAAAAAATATATAATAGGTGACGTTTCAGGCAGTGGCCCTTCAAAAGGCAGTGTCATTGATGAAGGTGAGTTTGTTATTATTTGTGCTTGTGTTCCACTCCCAACGCAGCAGCATCACCAAATAGTTTTGAAAGTTAAGGTAGGGGGCATTATATGGGGAGCACAGAAGTATAGTACTGTACTTACTAACAGTACAAGAGTGGATGTTATTTGCACTGCAGTCTGCTGCTCACTGTGTCGCTCCACAACCTAAAACGTCTGTTTTTCATGGTGGTCACCTGTCCAAGCACTTTACAGGATCAACCCTGCTTAGCGTTTCTGAGATCTGACAAGATCTGGCACATTCCAGGTTAATTTGCTCATGGCCATAAGGTGTATAGAGATGAAATGATAGAGATGTTTATTCAAAATATGTAGAATGTAGATAGGTCTATTAAAATAAAATATGTGTTACAGTACTCATCAAATGTCCTGCTATTTGAAGGCCTGACTCAGGACTAAAATATATTAGTCATACATCATTAACACGAATATACACCCACCACATGCCTACAAAGGCTACAAGCACTTAATGGTATCACGAAGCCTTGTAAAACAATTCAATTTATAGAAAAAAAAGTGGAGTTAATACACTTTAAGTTAACAGACTTTCCGTAAAGTGAAACTAATGGCCAGATAATAGCTGGATCCCAATCCAAATTAATATTCACTGATGGTTATTTTGAATATTACGTTGAAAGGCTAAGTTTTAATGTTAAGTTTGAATAGCAAGTTTGATTGGTAATCTTGAAGAGTAAGTTTGGATAACAAGTTTACATGACACGTTTGATTAGTCAGCTGGAACGGAAATTTTGAAGAGTTAGTTTGAGTGGCAAAGTTTTCCGAGTAAGTTCTTCATTGAATGACGCCGCCGCCGCCGTAATAGACCAGGGTTTGGACAGCTCTGCTCCAGCCGGGTCACAGGGAGTTACCGTCGGTACATTCTGCACAGTAACATGCAAGCTGTCCCAGAGCGCTGCCTCCGTGAGCTTGGTAGGGGTACTGCAGCCTGAGCTCTGTCTGGTTGGGCAGCACGTGCTCCATGTAGTAGAAGATGAGCTCCTGCAAGGTCTTGAAGTGCAAGCGCAACTTATTATCCAGCCATATCTTCGGACCCTGCAAGACGACAACGTCCAGGCGTGAACATTCACCTTGAAATTGAAATAATAATAATACTTATTATTATAAAAGGCTGCATTCATCCAGGAAATCCTCACCGATCGTCAAGATGAGAAAACGATTTAGGACGCGGCGGAGAAAACGTGATGACAGTGGCACTTCAAGACGCCTCTGCAGTGAGAATCACCGGCCATTCCTACTGCAGGGAATGGCCGGCTAATTTCATTAGGGTCGTAAAGGCTCGTTTTTCAATATCGGAATATTTTGGTCGAGTCTCTGTGTGTTACGCATGGCAGGAAACATTACTGCCCAGAAAAACTCCACACAAATGAGGGCTGATACTCAAAATTTGCCAAGACTCGCCAGAAATAATATTTACGTCACCCTACGGTAGGTGACAAGGTTACATAGTTCTGGTCCTACTTGTAAAAGAAAAAAAAAGTAGTCTGCATTGAATGAGGATTTGCTGTTATATTTATATTTAAATCCACTGGGATTTGTTGCAAAAACCAGGTGCGATTTTAAAATGTGCTGCGACAATAAACCGCAGTGCATAATAAAGCACATTTATTCTTCTCTGAAACCAGCGAGCTTATAGCCGGCTCACACAGCCGTTACTCACAACTGGCTTTACTTGTTCAAATGAGGGCTGTGCCTGTCGTCCAAATAGTATTCGTGAAGTAAATCAATGCGTACGAGTGTAATTGACAAACCTCTTGATATATCTTGAAGTTTCTTATCTTCTGGAAATTTTCATCCCACACCATGAGGACCTGTGGAATAATTGTTTCAGTCATAATACTCTACTGCAGAAAAGACAAAAATATAATCCCAAGTTCTGCAACTGTAACCATTATAGAGGATACAATTTAATTCAGAAGGCACAATGGGGCTGATGGAGGAATACAAGGGGGAGAAGTAGTGATGGGGCTTTCTGTAACTATGAGAATGCATTGCACGTAGAGTATTCCTTCATTATTCCTGAGAGATAAATTCCGGGGATGCTTGTGAATAGCAAACTTCGCGCAAAATGGCATTGACCTACGAAAACCTATCTCTTTAATGAATTCCCTTAAACAAATACATAAGCGATTAAATACATGAAAATGATCTCATCACTTTCACGCATCACATTCCCTCTCATCACTTTATCTCATAGCTTTTTCTCTCTCTCTCTCTCGATGCAGTAATCGTGTAAAGTTCCAGATGCGATTCACGGATAGCAAACGTGGCGGATAGCAAGTTCATGAATAACGAGGGAACATTGCATTGGCCAGTGCCAAGCGTCACCCTCTCGTATGCGTGGGGGTTTGTGAGTGCTATGCTCTTCCCCCCACATTCACAGAATTGACCACACGTCTCAATGCAGGGTACTCTCGACAATGAGTTTTGGGAATCAGTGGGGCTTTCCAATGTTCACAATTAGCAATATTATTTAACATGATAAAACACCTTCTATTCCACGGCCTTATCTACAAATTCTCCATGGAGTTGGGTAGATCTGCAATATTCCCCGTTTCGTGAGACCAGTAACAGCTGTTATCTAAAAATCATGCATATGAGGAAGGGAGAAAAATGGGCTGTAGATGAACATTCTAGAGCTTGCCCATTTTAACTTTCATCTCTGTGGGTCACATCCGCCACAGATGTGATTAAAATGGCTCCTCTGAAACCTCTCGATTATATTTGCTGCTACCAGTCATTGTAGATACTTATCTTCCAGTTATGCTCATTGACGGCATTGACGAAGAAGCCACTGGGAGCTATGCACTATTAAATCTAGATTGAAAACTAATTTTGTTTAGAACTGCTGTTTGTGTTTAGCTTGTTGCCCTTTCCGCCGCACCTCCGACAAGCGCAGAAGGCTATATACGGTACGCAAAGACGTTCAACGTGCATGTTTGCATAATTACTGTTCGCATCGTGTTTTCATTGTTGACATATTTTCTGTAAACGAAAAAAGTATTCCAAGTGTAAATTAAGCGATGCGATTTTTTTTTTGGTCTCACCTGTCCAGCATGAGAAGATTCCCGCACACAGTAGAGTCCATCCCTGGGAGAACTGAACTTGATTTTACTGCCAGGGGGTATCCAAACAACAACAACAGCAACGCACAGTCACACAAACTTGACACGTATTTGGTCGGGGGGCGGGTTCCAAATGAATCTGAGATGTAAATTACATTGTTTCTCATAATCATCACGTTTTCATTGCACAATGAACTGTTCATGTAAAGTAGTCATGATTAATGACCAAATACTTGAGTAAAAAATTAAACATCCAGCTATGACAAGTCCTCAGCAAGCAGATTTTTTCCCCCCAAAAGTCTAATTGTTACGTTCTTATGATGCAGGCTAGAAAAATGAACAAGCATCACCAGCTCCCCGCGTTCCAGCAAAATTAGCTCACTAATGACATTTTAAGTGCTGCAGTTCAGGAACAAGTTTATTTAAAACAGAAACCATGGCAAGATTTGATCATACTTAAAAAAAATCGATTACAGTACAGGACGGCCCAAGAATCAGGTCACATAGGGTTATTATATTTATTGTGACAAATGTTCGACCAGACTTCCATTAACATTAATGCATGCGTGAATGATCTTTTTAATTTAATTTAGGGCTTATTTTTAAATATTACATGTGTGTCTCAATCCATTCCAGGTTTTTGGTCGAGTTTTGTATACGGCAGATTTGAGGTGACCCCACAGGAAGAATAAGAATAGATATTAATAATGACACCAGATAAATAATTAACTGAATTAAATAAATAATACTTTTTTTATGCCAGTGTTAAAATAAATTAAGTGACCCTATGTGTATCTATGGGACCTTTGTTTATTTTCCAGTTTTTCCGAAAGTACGTGTGGTTAATGCAGACTTGATGACTTGCAATAGGAGTGTCTATTCGGTGTTTGAACATCTTAACGCCTTCTGTGTTATTGTCAGAAAGAGTTATGTAACGTTTCATCACTGTGGAGCCTATGCTTAGTAAAGGATTGCATTCATGTACGATCGTCGTTGCCACGCATCACATTTGGTGGTGTTGGCTCTCTGACCAAGGACTTCTGTCCCCACGTACGTAGCTGTCCTGCAGAGAGGGATTTTTATTTTTATTTATTGCCCAAAAAAACGCCATGGCACAAAGCTGTGAAAAGTCGTGTAAATTCGCGCCCCTTTGATCAACCCTCATACACCTCTCTGCCATTGCCAGAAAGGGTAAATGCCTGTTCTTCTTATTTCATAACCCTACGCGTCCTAACTTTTGTGCCACCCTGTATGTACATATTGAAGCATCGCTTACTTCTCCATAACTGAACTCCCGCAACAAATAAACACGGAATCTAACAATTTAGGAATCACATTGCCATATTGATATCACTGACTTCCTTCTGGCTTGACCATACCATTTCCGAATTTTGCGAAGCGTACCGTACTTCAGGTAACTACGTGTGTAGTGGATTTTTCAATATATATAAAACAAATTCTAATTGCAAAATTGCATAATGGCGGGAAAAATTACTAATAATAAAGTTAATGTATGCGAGTGCTGCTCCTGCTCAGGTGATCGCAGCTGTGATGTACAGCTCCGTGGTGTCCACAGCAGTGGTTCTCAACCTGTTTGTTGGCCAATGTGCCCCCTTGTTGAATGTTGTTTCAAGCGAGTAGTACCCCCCTGCACCTTGCCTGACCCAACGTGGTACTGAGAATTAAATGTATGAATAATGAACGTCAATATTTTAGTGAATTGTCCATTTTGTGAGGTATCCTAACATGCTATAAACTGCAAGCGGATAAAAGCAAATTAAACGGACGCAATGCATGTGCAGGGTAATTTGTTCACATTCGCTGATTACTCTTGGAAACGGCTTTGTTTAGAATCGATGATTTTAGAAAGGTATTTGATATGGTTTTAGGTTACCATATGGATTTACATTTTATCGTAGTTATTGTATATTGGCAGATTCATACCGATGACTATCATGTATGATATAATTTCAGACATTTATGAATCACCTCACGTACTCCCTGGGACATTGCTATGTACCCCAGGGATCCGCGTACCCCTGATTGAAAACCACTGGTCTACAGGGTCCACCGCGTGTTGTTCGGCACAATGTCAGACATCGGAGAGGTATATGGGCAGTCCTTGACTTACAAACGGGTTCCGTTCCTGAGAGCCGTCCAAAAGTGGAATAGTTCGTAAGTCGTAACACAGTGATGCACTGAATTTAAATGCACATACGGTCAGTGTTATGAAATGTGTTACGATTCAACAAAAAAGAGAAGCATTGTTAAACTCATAAATAAGAATAAATATTGTACATTTGCGTGTAACACTGCAAAATGTTCCGCAGTTCGGTTCGCAAGTGCGAATTCACGTTAGAAAGTCGGATGGTTAAAAAATAAATATCTTTTGGACGCTCGTTCGTAAGTGCAAATGTCCACAAGTCGTGCGTTCGTAAGTCGGAAACTTCGTGTATAGGCGGTCGTGACTTGTGAGCTGTGCAACCCCGATGTCGCACCTTTCGACCATGGCGCCATCACACGTCAAAAAGAACATGTCTTCAGGCATGATGTCCCTCATCTGAAACGAGACGTCGCACGGACTGTGGTTGGGGTGTGCATTCAAAGGGTGGCACACGTCACTTGGGAATGACACCCCATTATACCATGAGCAGGTTCACAATATTGTCCTTTATTTGAAAGGATATGATATGTTTGCTTTTGTAACTTGCTAACCCACTCATACTGGACATCTGTGAAAAAAACTTTCATAGCTCATCGGATTTCTTCAGTCTAAATACATATTCTGATTCTGACAAATATATGCCTCGTGACCAAGTCTCTGCCATCTACCCAACCTCTGATTAGCACGGTTGGCTATGTACGAAAGAAGTTCAACATACATGCATACAATGTTGCCAGAAATCAGAAGCTAAGCAGGCCTGAGCCTAATCTAGATTTGAAGTTTTCGTGACTGCAGGGATCCATACTCTTTGGTTCTTTTGGTAAAGTCACATAGGTAGAAAATAAAATAAATAATTTTATTTCTTTTAAAATAAAAAATAAAATAAATTTATAAAATTAATATTTACTATATTTTATTTTATACCTACGTGACTTTACCGAAAGAACCAAAGAGTATGAGGCCTGAACCTGTGCAGTTGCTTGCACATGCACCACAGTAATGTAACCATCACTCCGCGAGAATCAAAACTGCTTATGTACGAAAGAAGTTCAACATACATGCATACAATGTTGCCAGAACTCAGAAGCTAAGCAGGCCTGAGCCTGTGCAGTTGCTTGCACATGCACCACTCGACCACTCGACGAGAATAAAAACTGCTGCTGTTGTTAAAATGTGTATCTGTGAATCCTGTGCGCACGTCTGTCCATCCTAGGTGTGCGCGCGTATGGTGTGTGTTTTACCTCCATCGCCCATTTCGATTCCGTTGCGGCAGACCTGAAAAGAGACGTGCATGTCGATAAGTTAACACTTTATAATAATAAAAACTTGTGGTTTTTAAGCGGTGCTTCTGCACACGATCCTCCCCCCACTGCCGCCATCTCCCACCTCCTCTCCCTCCACCTACTTTTGCTTCTGCAAACAAATCGCTACGTGCGCAGATGAATGACCGACAATAATTCCGTGCGTGCCACGCTGCCCAGACTGCCCGAGAGGTACGAGCAGGCGTAATAAAAATATATTTCATGACAAAAGCTACAAACATAATTTGGAAATTTCCTCGTTCCAATAATAAGTGTTCAGCTGTTGGTTTGAGGCAAACATCGCAGTGGTAGACTGACTGTATGCCTTCTCTCGAGATAAACCTACATGCAGTATATTGTATACATATTGCAACCACACAGCGTGTGTCTCTCTGAAGGATAAAGCGAAAAGTGTACATTTTACTGTCTTTTTTTTCAAAACGACCTCTTAACATTAATCGAAATTGTATGTTGGTGGCAATGAACAAGATTTGCATAATCAAATCTGCAAAAATACAAGCAAGCCCGATCATCAACACAAAACGAGCACAGGCTGGAATACCAAACAACACGCAGACACGTGTACACAGAACTCGGCGTCTGTGCATTATGTAGAAAACCATCAGCAGTTCGTGAAGAATTGAATTGTTATCCTCTTGTCTGGGGTCACCGTCAAATAAAAAATAAAAATGAGCGACTGACAGCAGCGGTGACGCAGTGATAGGCAACTGTTGACAGGTTTCGTCATTGCTAGGACTCATCAGTACGATATAGCCACCAATGCTCCCTGCTGCAATGTCTGCCGATGGAGCCCATGAGCTTGGCTGAATGCCAACATAAATCAAACCTGTAAATGATGGAAACCATTGTTTCTGAGTTGCCATTTTATCATCATTTCCATATTCGAATGTGAATGTCTGCTTTTGTATAAACAGTACACAGTAGACTCTCAATTATTCACGCTAATGAAGGGGAGGACAGAAGCAGATAATCCACAAATATCCAGTTTCCGCGGATCTATATGCCAAAAACCATTAATATAGGTATCAATTAAAACTCACAAAATAAATGAGCAGATAAATCACAAAAAATTAAACTGACAATTTTAATTGTTACTCTTTCTATTTAGAACGAATACTAACGATCGACTGATCGATGCGCGTGCTCAGCGATAACACTTTCCTGCTCCCGTACACAAGAGTCCGCCCACTAAGTGGACAGCAGCGGAGCCACACCACTTAAAATCAATCAAACTCCACCCACTGTTGTAAAGATATGCAACTACTGTATTGTAGAGGCAACCACGTGGTTTGGGATTAACCGGAGCACATATTAGTCCGTTTATACACGTGGCTTTTATATAAACATTCCATGCATAACAATGTATAACTATTTTTAGATTATTAATATGGGCTTAATGAAAAATCCATAAGTTATTAATTTATGTCAAAATCTGAGGTGCACGGTTAATCCGCAAATTGGATAAACCACACGTAGATAATTGAGAGTCTACTGTATAGTAGAACCCCTCTTAACGACAGTCATTGGTTCCAAACAAAAAGTCATTAAGTGATTTGGTCGTTAAGCGAGTATAGGAAATACAGTACACCAAGAAATCAAAAGAGATGTTTCCACTTCAAAGCGCAGCAGACACTGAATGTAAACAATGCCCCAACGCTCATAAATGGACATCGCCGATTGGAAAAGGCCTGCTCAGACCACTTTGGAGCTCGCCGACTGGCCAAAATCAGCGGTCGCGTGCTCGTCGTGAGCCCGTCGTTAAAATGGGAATGGTCGGTAAGCGAACATATTGGGCTCTATGGAGGCCCATCATTTAGCGATTAGTCATTAATCGGGGTATTCGTTCAGAGGGGTTCTACCGTATATGTATGTATAATTAAATGACGTGTTCGAGGACCAACCTGACTGGACGGGGCGAGTGCTGCTGTTGGATTGATGTCCTCTGCTTGGAGCTGCTCGTGGGGAGCTCCTCCCTCACCTGGCCACACATCTCGAACGGGTAGCCAGGAGACAGGGAGTTCTTGAGAGACTCATAGCGTCTGGGCGGTGTGGGGTATTCGCTCTCTGGCAGCGCTGCTACAGGCAGACGGAGAGAAGTAACACAGTGTTCAGAGTGATTATGATGTCCATCTCCGCTCATTTGACCTCAATCACGTTCTAATGTCTATGGAAGGAGGAGAGCCGGAAAACAAATGAAACACACGTTCATCGTAAACGACTCAATTGACCTACTGCTGATTATAAAAGTTGGAATTAATGACAGATTTAGGTTAAATAAGGTCCATATTTGTCTCGCCATTTTGACATTTTTCATGACATTCAAGGTCCCACTACCCAGAAGCCATTTTGGGAAGAAAAGCTGTGATTGGCACGCTGTCAAGCCGAATGTATTCCCTTAGTCAATAAACTATTAAGCTATTAAAACTATTTTTCTTTCATTTTACCAGAAGCGACCTGGCCACAAATGATAGCTCAACGAAGTGGCTTATCATGTGGAAATTTCAAGCAACCAAATACTCTAAGCGCATGTTTCTAAATGTGGAGAGAAAACTCTGAAGACCCGGAGAACAAGCCACGGGACCACAGAGAGAGAGACATGCAAACTCCAAATATATAGCAGGCGTCAGGGTCGAGATCGAGCCTACGACCTCCTGTATAGCAGGCGAGGTAGTTAACATATCGCCACCAGGGCACCCGTGGTAAATCAGTTCGCCCCTATACAAACAAAACACATCTTTGCTACTTTCTGCGCTCATTGTGCTTCACAACATTACAGCTGCAATGGAAACAAATATTTATAGTCGACATGAACAGTATCAACACTATTACGTACAAATGCTGCTCCGTTCACTGCCTTATCTCCCGTTGAAACGGCTCGCTTGACAGTCGTACCCGGTACAGGTATGTGCCGATTGCTAGACTGTGTGAAGTCACACACAGTGGTTCTGAAACCGTGGTGAAAAAAACAAATGGCACATTTCTGTTGTATATTTTTTCTTTCAGGTGCAAATTTCAATAAAAACTCAATCTTTTGCCGAATGCTACACCAAATAGTTTTCACCGAATATATTTGTGAGACTTTGTTAAAGTCACAATACAGTACGTGGCTTAAGAGATCGTGGTATGGTGGGAATCCATGGGCCCAAGTCACGTTCTGTACAGCCTATTTGCCAACCCACTGCTGGATGAAGTCATCCTCATGTTGCGTCAATTCGTGGGGTTGTTTAACCATACTTCACCGCACTGCATAGCGTGGGTTTGTGAAGGTGGGGACCCAGGACCGTTTCAGATGCCACTCGCCACTGACTGACTTTCACCATGGCTGGGAATCAAACTCAGGTCACTGGGTTCAATTACGCAGTGGGCAGTGGTGGGGGGAATTCTTCCGTTGTTTTTTTTTGTACGACATCAGACACAAGTGAATGCTAATATTGCGAGAATGCACCGATTCTACGCGCAATCCGCCACTTTTTGGTGCAACGGTCGCCAAAACGGCTGCACGAATCAGGCCCTGGATGTTCACTCGAGAGGGATGTAGAGGGGATGAGTCATTCCACCGCACCTCTGATTAGCACAATTGGCTACGTAGTGATGCGAAAGAAATACAACACACGTACAAACATACCAGAAGACTCCCCAAAGAGTTCACAAAAACAAAAGGTATTGAGAACCCCTGTCACAGAAATGCGAATGAGTGAGTCCACTCCTGGAGCTGGTACCTTGAGCTGAGCAGCAGCAGCACCAGCATGTGCCATTGGAGGCATGGCTTGAGTCGTGTGCCACGTCTGAAAAAAATATGAATTGATTTTCGTTTACATTTGTATGACCACATTAGTTAATGATTGATTAACCTTTGTACAACCATCAAACTATGTAAGGCGAGCTTCTTCATGTAATGCCTCTTTATCAAAAAGTAGTGTTTCGATTAAGCATTGAATTTCCTTGCACGTTAATAGAATGATGAAAATAACAGTCGTTACTAGGAATGCTAAAAATAAAGTAATGCATGGCATGTGCATGATAACGAACACATTTATTATATATAAAATGCCCCGAGGAAATTATTTGCATTTCAGTGAACACTTGCATATCTCTCACCTTCAGAATCATCATCCGGTTCTTCAAAATCACCATTATCTACATTCCAGATACAAGGGATAGCATTCGAGGGCGAGCGTCACGTACAGTATTGTGTTTAAATATGAGTGTGCCGAGTCCTTTCAAGTGTGTATTGGGATGGGCCCAATCCCCATCTTGGTCCCTGGTCGGCGCGTCTGTGACTGCAAAGGCACGAAGCACAATCTACGTATAGCCTTGGCTTCTTGTCCGCTTAGTTTGTTGTCCTTCCCCCGCACCTCCGATTAACACAGTTGGCTACGTAAGGTGCGAAAGAAGTTCAACGTACACACTGTACATACGTACGTAAGGTGTCAAGCAAGGGCCTTGATCAGATCGTGAATCTTCCTTAAAAAAATATCCTGAAATTGTGAATAACCCAACTAATAATAGATATCCGTTGTAATGTATATGAATACGTGAATCCTCCCTCTGGTCTTCGTAATCTAATTGGTTCACAGTGACGAAATCACATTTATTCTCCACAACCCTGGCTGTCGCCTAATGATGCTGGTTGTAATAACCAGCAACATCACAATACTCGAATTGTAAATGTTGTGGGTTTACTCTCCAACACACCGGGATGCCAAACTAGTAACAAATTAACATGTTTTGTTTACGTGTCACATTTATATCTACGCGATCTAACCAAAAAAACCTCTATGGATAATAATGGTTACGAAGGCCTATATGTTAATCTCTCTCTGTGTGTTCTGACTGAACTGATCTAGCCACATCTCTGTATCAGCCAGCCAATAGACGACCCAGAAATTGGTTTCATTCACTACACAGTACATATATACTCAATATGTTACATATTCTTTGTGTTAATTATGAACTACTATTTAACTATTTTTTATTAACCGAGATAAGGCCCACTGAGCTATACAGCTCTTTTTCATAAGTGACCTGGCCACAAATGATAGCTCAAAGAAGTGGCTTATCACAAGGAAATGTATAGCAGCAAAATACTCTAAACGCACGTTGATTCTAAATGTGGAGGGAAAAACCAGAGGACCCGGAGAAAAATCCACGTTACCACGGGGAGAGAGGGACATGCAAACTCCAAATATACAGGCGTCAAGGGTCAGGAACGAATCCATGACCTCCTGCATACCAGGCGAGGTAGTTAACATCTCGCCACCATGGCCATGACAAAGGAAGCACATCTGAACCATTCATTTTGTCTATATAAACCCTATAAAATAACACTATTTTGGGGTCACTCGACCCCTGCTATAAAGGAATGTTTTTCCTCGCTACAATCAGCACATACGCGTTCCCCTAGCGACGTCATCCCTTTTCCATCCCTGGAAAAAAACTCTCTCTGTGACGTTTCCTGACGGCAAAGTTGAGCACAGTAGATGCGGCAGTAGTTTTCATCATCGAGTCTTTATTTTTATGCCACGGAGGACAGCTTGGAGGAACCTTCTATGCGGTCTCCGAAATTCCCTGGCAAGGCAATCTTTATCTTTGCTTTTCCGATTCCCGATCTACTAATTATCCTCGACACTCTAAGTGCATTTAGCCGAATGTGGTTAATGATTCTACGGGTCGATGGATGCACAACCACTCCTGGGGCAGCTCATCCCTGGTTGTGGTTTGGGAAACTCTCTCAATTCACAGGAGGTTATGCTCAATAAATATGCAAACTTGGTACTGGGAATCAGAGATCACATTTCCATGTTCTCCTTCTATAATGTTAACAAGAGTTGAGGAACAAGTTACACATTGTTTGTAAGTGAGAAGTGTTTGTAGATGATTAGCGCGCCATGTTGGCAAGATGTTAGCTCCCTCGCCTGGTATACAGGAGGTTGTGGGTTCGATCCCGACCCTGACGCCTGCTGTATATTTGGATATTGCATGGATCTCCCCATGGTCGTGTGGATTTTTCTCCGGGTCCTCCGATTTTTCCCTCCACATTTAGAATCAACACGCATTTAGAGTATTCGGCTGCGATACATTTCCACATAATAAGCCACTTCGTTGAGCTAGCATTTGTGGCCAGGTCGCTTCTGAAAAAGAGCTGTATAGAACAGTGGGCCTTAGCTCATAAAACAAATAAAAATAGTTCCTCGTTAGGTTTACAAACGATGAATGCTCTCTTCTCCGCAATGTACAGTATTACCACCCAACATTGAGCATCTCTCCTGACCCTCGAATGAAGGATTCATCGCCATCATCGTTAACACATTCCTGCGGTGGGAGCTGGTAGGAATGTTGGGTTGCTCGGTCAATGGCCAGGGTCAATGGCGGCGTGGTGTATTCCGCAAATATGCCCGACTGTGTGGGCGGGCACAAGCCGGCGTGAGGAGGTTAAACGTTGAGTTTAGCCCCACCCTCCCCACCCAACCCCTCCCCACCCTCCCCTCCCCACGCAGCTCCTACCCACCCTCCTCTCCCCACCCAGCCCCTCCCTCCCCACCCAGCCCCTCCCTGCACGACGGACAGAATAATCCCCTGTGGGCTGGTGTAACCAGGAGGTTCCTACCAGTATAATTGTAAATGTTGTGGGCTTACTCTCCAACACACCAGTGTGCTGAACTAGTAACTAATTGGCATGTATTGTTTACGTAACAAACCTTACTAATTGGCTGTGTCGGGTGGCGGCGGGCTTAACAACACATTTATATTTACGCGATGTAACCCAAAGACCACTATTCTGGATCGTGATTATGATTGTCGTGGTGAGCTCTCTGGCGCTTCCTGTAGTGGAGGCCCTTCCACCAGCAGCGGCGTGAGCATTAACTGTAACCGCAGCGCTGCCCCTGTGCAGTTTAGTCGGTTCACTTTGTTAAAAACCAAGGTGACAACTCGGGATTTGATTCCAATTCGCAAGAGTGACCAGAGTTACCAAAATGGCAAAAGTCAATAACAGCAAAAAACAAGCAGCGTACAGCTGATTGTTTTCTCGGAACGCACAAGCGCTCAGCATTAATTTTATTTAGAGAGCACCGCTGTTTTTAAAGATACTACTCACCGCAGAGAACCGTAGCGACACGACCTCCCTCTATAATAGCTGGTGCCACACTGCCACACGCCCTCCCACGTGGCCTTGTGGGAGCCTCCGTATCGAAAAAGTTATTTTTTTCGGTTCCGTTTCGATGCAAATGTATGTCATCGGAACGGAATCGGAAGAAAAACGTATGACGTACATGTGCGTACGTGCAAGCGGTTCAGCGTTACGTGTACGTCATCGGAACGGGTAAGGGTCTATTGACCAAATAGATATCAGAGCAACAAAAAAACAAATATGTCAGCAAGTGCGTTGTGTGAGTGTGGGAGTGTAAATGTGTGCTTGACTTACTGGTGCCAAGGAGCTGCAGGCCACCGTCCCTGCTCAGGCTGATGGCAACAGGCCTCTCCACAGACCCGTAGAAACTGTCCACCTCACTCGGGCTGTCGGGCCGACTGCTACACAACACGAAGAACACAATGGGCGACCTTCAGAGCCGTTCTGGTCTCTTCTGTTTCACAATGAATCGCGATGGAATATTTTCATTTTTAATTCGTCCTGTAAGTGCACCTGTCCGCTAAGCGGCGGGAAGCTCTTGACGATAACCTTTTAAGGAATTACGATTCGATTCGTAATGAAGACTGAATATGGTTCCCAACAGGTTCGTGAAATTGTTGAGATGATGGAACCAGACATCGTTTTTTGGCTTGTAAATAATCTACAAATTGGCACAATTCAGTGTCAGCCTGTGAGTCAAGCAGCAATTCTGTTTTTCTTTCATTTTTTAAACCTTAAGTGTTTTTTTCCTCATTTGTTCTATCTCATGTGCAGAGTTTGTTCATCCAATTAGCCTAAATAGGAACATTTCGAAATACCATTTGAATGAATCGCAATTAATTGATTCTCACTTGCACAATTGAACGTGTTCATAGGCGAGCATCAGATGAGCTTTTCATGACAGAATCTATCCGTCGTCATTGCATGGCGAATGTTGTTCTAGGGGGCAGCCAATCAATGACGCGTGCCATCCAGTGATGACTCCTGGAATCCCCACGAGAATCCCGGTATTTTGAATGAAGATGCGGGGATCGCCAGTGAAATGGATGAGGCATGTAATGTTTGCGTCGTCTTCGACTTGTCGTGCTTCGGGAGCGTCGATGTTCGCTGGGTAACGTGATGGGAAACACGCTTGAAGCCTAAAAACACTGTGGACCAAGAGTACAGCTTCTCCGTAATCCATACCAACAGCAATCTATTCGTGGTACAAAAAAAAAGGTTGCCACTCCATAAATGTTTGGACTTCTTTTCTCTTCATCGCACTGCGACTAACGATGCCGCCCAGTGTACTCCTCTCAGTCGCACCTCACCACCTCGGCCCATTTCGCGCCCTTGCTCTGCCAGTCCTCTACCACGTCCACAGTGAGTTATACAATAGGATGTGAAATCTCGTCTGCCACCCTTCCACGCACATATAAAACACGTAGGAATATATGTTTGACGTACTTTTTTTTTAACAGATGTCTCCAAAAATAATGCGAGTTGATAAAGGAAATGCAACATTATAGATCTAGATTCGAATCTCAATTTGTAGTTTTCGTGACTGCAGGGATCCATACTCTTTGGTTCTTTCGGTAAAGTCACGTTGGTATAATATAAAATAACATTATAGATATTTCCTATTTGTCGTCTCAGTGATGGTCTGTGTGAAATTGTAAATGTATCTCTTACGTGTCTGTGTGGTATACCTGCTGCTCTTATAGAACTCGGTGATGATACACTGCTCCTTAATTTCATTCCTGATGGCTCCCATCCACTTCTGCAGAAAGAGAGAGGATCGATGAAGTGAAGGAGTGAAAGTCGGTGCACGAGGCGCGTGATGATTGTGGGAATTGATTGTTGTGCTTGGTTGTCCTTCCCCGCACCTCCGATGAGCACGGATGGCTACGTACGGCGAGAAAGAAGTTCAACATACACTATGGGGACCTCATTTGCCAGTAAAAATATGATAATTGGTTCTTTACCCTTCTATCTGGCAACAAAACTGACACCTTTTTGCAAGGAGTCATGTTTGCATAGACCGCAATACCTGCAGTCATAATACAAACAAAAGACATAACTCTGATAATGTTTTGGCGTCATCTGGTCCAACCCATATGAGACTAGGCTCGAAGGAAAGCTGTCTCGGGTGTGGACCAATCAACTTCAAGGACAGTGCACATTATCAGAGTTATGTCTTTTGTTTGTATTTATGACTGCAGGTATTGCGGTCTATGCAAACATGACTCCTTGCAAAAAGGTGTCAGTTTTGTTGCCAGATAGAAGGGTAAAGAACCAATTATCAAGTTCAACATACACACTGTACATACAGTGAAGTAATGCACAGCAGCGGTCATCAGCCCTGGACAGAAGCAGCTTCGACGTCACTCTCAGATGTGTTTTCGGCGTTTGTACCGCGTGCCGTCTGGAGTGTTGTCCGACGGGTCACGCTCTGTGCGGGGAGCTTCTCCTGGGAAGTGAAGAAGCTCCCGGTTACGAGGAGTGAACCGTTCGGACGTCGTGCCGCACAGCACGCGGCATAACATGAAGATACAATGGAGAGCTACGCAGCAGCACGACCGCAAACACTGACGCAGTCGTACAACTTAACGAGTGGTTTTCCCCTCGTGGTTGAACAATTGGCACAACTGTGTATTTAAAAAAAGGCTCGTGGCCGTCTGGCAATAAGGTGAGTAACGTGTCAAAACTTACACAAACGTGTGTACCCTTGAACAGTGCCTGTTCATCGTCGTGAAACGGATCAGTAACGTGAACTCAAATACGGAACAAAGCTGAGAAGTACGCAGAAAAAAACGTGGAGACATCAAATTCTAAGAATTACATTGAGGGGGCAGAAAGAGGAACACGTGCATCGGAGAGCGAACACACACATTGGAGGAGACATCTTATTGGGTGTTATGAAAGAGTAAGAGGACTTGGGCAGGTCTCATCGCGAGAGGGGGATGATTGCCGATGGATAAACTGGTGATGCGACTGGAAGCCTGAGAAGATAACAGCAGAGGTCGAATAATGAGATCAGCGCATACGCAGAAGTTAGATGGATTCCATCATCGCAGAATCATGAGATTAACTATTTTATTTGCTCAAACTAAGCCAAACTATTTTTATTTATTTTATCAAACTAAACCAAACTCTTTTTATTTGACCAGGTAAGGCCCAATGAGTTTTAATAGCAAATTGTCAGAAGCGACCTGGCCACAAATGATAGGTAAACGAAGTGGCTTATTATTTCGTGGATATTTATCGCAGCCAAATACTCTAAACGCATGTGGTTTCTAAATGTAGAGGGAAGTAGAGGACCTGGAGAAAAATGCACACGACCACGGGGAGAGAGACATGCAAACTCTAAATATACAGTATTCAAGGTTGGGATCGAACTAACAATCTCCTGTATACCAGGTGACATAGTTAAGATATCGTCACCTTGGTGGAGGCCTTTGTCCAGAAGTGGACAAATAACAATGATCTTAAATGACTTCAAATATGTAATATTATACCTCATATTTCCACCTGATATTCCTACCAAACAATAAAAAAAAACATTTCCCAAAATAAATCACGCAATGAACATACACGAATAAATCACAATTAACAAACATTGCTTCACAACATAAGCATATAAGCAGCTGCATCAGTTGATTAAAACCGAACACAACCCATCCGATTACCTAATTTTGTTAATTTATGTCCATATTTAATATTATCTCTGGGATGTCTAGCGTGTCCCTGTAGCAATGGTTAAAGGTGCAGTCCTGCAATTGCTTGATGACACCACTGCTGGCAGGAAGCTCTCGAGACGCTGCCCCCAATGTGATGCTGTGCTCTGCTGTCACTTTGTCGACTCAGCACAGCCTTTGCAACTCTCGTCTGTCTTCTTATCCGGTTGCATCATCAGAACTGAACTCCACGAGTGAGAAAACAGATTAGCTGACGATACGTCTCCTTCCCATTAATGTCTCTCCACGTAAAGTAAAAAAAGAAATGTATTTTTTCACAGTGCATGAGCCCCGCGGTCTTCCGGGAGCGCAATAATCTCAGCGGCATTGATTCAATACAAGCCAACTCTCGTCTGGGCTGATGAGTTGTGTAAAAATACTCTTTGGTTTTTTCGGTAAAGTCACGTAGGTAAAAAAAATGAAATGGAAACAACTAAATGTGTAAAAATACTTATTTTACAGGGAAATACAGATATATGTTATGGATGCATATAGTCCGCTTATCTATTTTGTTATTTATATTCTCCACAGAATTGCAAGTGCTTATTGTGCGACACCGGTGAGAGAGAGAAAGACGGATGAGGGAAGACAAGGTAAGGCCCGTCCCCCACCTTGCGTTCCTCTTCATTCGCTGCCGAGAAGTACCACTTGCGTCGATTCTTGCACATGTGCATCACCTTGAAAGGATAGATGGCGTGGGAGCCAAACTCCTCTGGAGCGCGGAGGACTCTGCCACATGCGCACGCACCGTACCAAAAAATGAGACACAATTCACGGACACAATTGCAACAAATGTGTATTCGTTGTTTGTAGACGCCGCATGAATTCCTCTGCCTCTCCGCTACACAACTTGAGCCATTGTTGAGGCCGTGCTGAGCCAACCTGGAACGGCTGGCTCAGGAGGTGCCCAGGTAGGTTTTCCACTGCAGAAGGAGAGCCGTGCCGCTGGCGTCACTCACGATGAATGGACCGGAAGACGCGTGTCTGTGACGCGGTAGGATCTTACCAATCTTACCAATTACAGAAAATCGACCACTCAGTACCTCCACCCTCCCACATTCCCCCCCCCCCACCCACGCCTTGCACCTCGAACCTGCAGAGCCCCCAAGGCCCCCCCCATCCTGCAACATGAACGCATTCTGATTGGCTGCCCCCCAAGTGGTGGCCAGCACGTGGGAGGGAAAAGGGTAGTTTGTGGCAATGTGCAGCAATCATTAAGACTGTCATAGCCCACTGATGTCTCATGCAATGGGCCTTGTAATTTTGTTTTATTACAACTAACAAGAGCCCGGCACAAAGCACAAGTCCCCAGGGCTCAGTGTTCCTGGGGTTTAAAGTAAGGAGGACAATTTGGGCTCACCGCCCCACCCAGGTGGCCACCGTGAGCAGCAGCATGAGAGTTTATATGGGAGGAAAGGATGGGGAGAGGATAACAAAAGGGGATAAAGGGAACGGAAGAGGAGGGGGAAATGGGCAATGGCATTTGCCCTACCTCTGATCCTGCCTTGCCAGGCTTATATATATTCTCGTAAGGCTACCAATATCCAGGTATGGCTCCGACTTGTCGCGGTAACTTGCCAGCAAAAATAAACACCCGCACCTTAAGGTCCATGCGGTGGTTTGGCACTAATGTGCCAGTGGAAACGTTGCATTCGAACACTATTGACGGAAAAATAATACAGTGATTTTCTGCCCGTGCAACAGGCAGGTGGGGTAAGAGTGAGATCCAGGGCAATGCCTAGGTTCATTCAGAAAACACACGCAAAAACATTATAATGTTATAAGATTAATCCCACGCTCGAATCAGCTGATTTAAACCGACTAACAACACGTGAGGGAATCCTAAATAGTTGAGGCAGTGGCACAAAATAATGTTAATGAGTGGAGTCCGATAGAAGTGGACAACAGGGCCTGGTTTTATAATCGGACAGCATTGTGGGTGGGTGGGGTGAATCCGGGGTGGCTGGTGGAGTGTGGGTGGGTAGGGTGAATAGGGGGGGGGGGGGGGGCTTGTGCATTGTGGGTGGGTGGGGTGAATCCGGGGGGGCTGCTGCAATGTGGGTGGGTCGAGTGAATCCGGGGGGGCTGTTGCAGTGTGGGTGGGTGGGGTGAATCCGGGGGGACTGTTGCAGTGTGGGTGGGTGGGGTGAATCCGGGGGGGCTGCTGCAATGTGGGTGGGTCGAGTGAATCCGGGGGGGCTGGTGCATTGTGGGTGGGTGGGGTGAATCCGAGGGGACTGTTGCAGTGTGGGTGGGTGGGGTGAATCCGGGGTGGCTGGTGTAGTGTGGGTGGAGTGAATCCGGGGGGGGGGGCCTGGTGCATTTTGGGTGGGTTGGGTGAATCCGGGGGGGGCTGGTGCATTGTGGGTGGCCACTGCACAAGAAGCTGTGAGAAAGCTGAGCTGGACGGGTTTTGGAAAAGGTTATCAGATTGCGGTTTCTTGAGCCTGAAACCCAACCACTCGATGCGGTCAAGAAATGTACAGTGTAATGCAATATTATTTAAGAATTCCTAATACCATGTCTGGATCAATGCTCCAACACCACATTTGTGGTGTTGGAGCATGTACATAATTTGGGCTACATTTTTGACATTATAATGTTTGTACAATTCATGGCTAAGGTGCGGGAAAAAAAGAATAATTTAAGGAAAGATCATCAAATAAGGTGGGACAATACCACACCTAAAAAGTTGTGTTTACATTTTTATTTTTATTTATTCATAAATCTACCAAAAAATGTAAATAGCAATCTATATATATAAAATCGTTCATGTCTGTCTGTCTGTGTGTGTGTGTGGACTTTGGCCCATACGCACTTTCATTGGACGGCGGTTGCCCCTGGCAACGGCTAGCCACGCCTTCACCGCTTTCATTGGACCTGGCAACGGCTAGCCACGCCTTCGCCAAGGGCTGCAGTTTCATTGGACGGCGGTTGCCCCTGCCAACGGCTAGCCACGCCTTCGCCACTTTCATAAGCTCCGTATTTAATTAAATAATAGCCATTACACAGTATTGTTGGAGCGCTAGGGGGGGGGGGAAGGAACGCCACCCGTACCCTGCCTCTTCCAAGCCGACAATTTTAGGCGAGGCCGCAGGCTTTGCACGCTACTAGGCCTCGACACCCACCACGCCACTCTGAGGTAAATTCATCAAAGTTTTTCCTACTCTTCACTACACCCCCACCACAATGTGTGCTATTAATATTACTTTTAAACCCAACGCGCCAACAATCGATTACTTTAATGTTCACTGTACAAATACTCATTAAGCTGGGTGAGCGTACTGCAAGTCTATCATGTACACTGTAGCCTGCTTATTAAGCTCGGTGAGCGTACTGCCACTCTATCATGTACACTCTAGCCTGCTTATGAAGCTGAGTGCGTGTACTGGCAGTCTATAATGTGGACTCTTGCCTGGTTATTATCATCGATTCTTTATATGTTCTTTGTACAAACAGTCATTAAGCTGCTTGAGCGACCCCAGTTCGATTCCAACTCACGCCCACCACCGCTGACGATTATTTGAAACGGACCTGGCCCTCCCCTAGGTCCACTCAGCCTCAAAAGCGTAACTGCTGTCGTGTGTGAACATCGTCACTGGGGAGACAAAGGCGGCGGGGCATTGTGGATCCAAGTCCCGGGCGAAGCCGGGTCATGTGTATGTGTGTTTGTGTTTATGTGTATGTCTGTGTGTCTCTATGTATGTGTGTATGTACGTGTGTGCATGTGCTTGTGTGTATGTATGTGTGTGTCTATGTATGTGTGTGTCTATGTATGTGTGTGTATGTGTGTGTATGTATGTGTGTTATGTGTCTGTCTGTGTCTGCATGTATGTGTGTGTGTATTGTGTATGTGTTTGTGTGCATGTATGTGTGTGTTTGTGTGTATGTCTGTGTGTATGTGTTTGTGTGTATGTGTGTGTGTATGTATGTGTGTGTATGTGTTTGTATGTGTTTGTGTGTTTACGCTCGCATTACACAAATGTGTTGCTGGTCTAAGGCGTTCCTCGCACAGCATTGCCGCTTTATTATTTCAGTCGTTTACTGCCTTACGCACCCTGAAAGTCGTGTGTGTCTGCAGCAAGCGCGTGTATGTGTACCTATGGACGCGCGCGCGTGTGTTGTGTAGGGGGAACGGTAGTGTAGTGCTTAGCGTGCTGTCTGTGTCTGTGTGTGTGTGTGTCTGTCTGTGTCTGTCTGTGTGTGTCTGCGTGTGTCTGTGTGTGTGTCTGTGTGTGTGCGTGTGTGGTGTGTGGGGAGCGGTAGTGTAGTGCTTAGCGTGCTGTCTGTGTGTGTGTGTGTCTGTCTGTGTCTGTCTGTGTGTGTCTGCGTGTGTCTGTGTGTGTGTCTGTGCGTGTGTGGTGTGTGAGGAGCGGTGGGTGTAGTGCTTAACGCTACGCTGCGCTACCAACCCGGCGAACCCAGTTCCATTCCCGCTCACGGCCACCACCGGTGACGATTATTTGAACCTCCCCTAGGTCCACTCAGCCTCAAACGAGTAACTGGTGTGGCGTATTAACATCGGCACTTGGGAGACAAAGGCGGCTGGGCGTGGTAGATCCAAGTCCCGGGCGAAGCCGGGTCATGTGTATGTGTTTATGTGTATGTCTGTGTGTCTGTATGCATGTGTGTATGTATGTGTGTGTATGTGTTTGTGTGTATGTCTGTGTGTGTATGTATGTCGGTTTTGCCGCCGTGGTGGATCCAAGTCCCGGGCGAAGCCGGGTCATGTGTATGTGTGTATGTGTTTATGTGTATGTCTGTGTGTCTGTATGCATGTGTGTATGTATGTATGTGTGTGCATGTGTTTGTGTGTATGTATGTGTGTGTGTATGTATGTGGGTTTTTTTGTATGTGTTTATGTGTATGTCTGCGTGCCTGTATGTATGTGTGTATGTACGTCTGTGGATGTGTTCGTGTGTATGTATGTGTGTGTCTATGTATGTGTGTGTATGTGTTTCTGTGTTTGTATGTGTGTGTATGTATGTGTGTTATGTGTCTGTCTGTGTGTCTGCATGTATGTGTGTGTGTATTGTGTATGTGTTTGTGTGTGTTTGTGTGTTTACGCTCGCATTACACAAATGTATAATGCGGGTCTAAGGCGTTCCTTACACAGCATTGCCGCTTTATTATTTCAGTCGTTTACTGCCGTATGCACCCTGAAAGTCGTGTGTGTCTGCAGCAAGCGCGTGTATGTGTACCTATGGACGCGCGCGCGTGTGTTGTGTAGGGGGAACGGTAGTGGAGTGCTTAGCGTGCTGCCTGTGTGTGTGTGTCTGTGTGTGTGTGTCTGTGTGTGTGTCTGTGTGTGTGTCTGTGTGTGTGCGTGTGTGGTGTGTGGGGAGCGGTAGTGTAGTGGTTAGCGTGCTGTCTGTGTGTGTGTTTCTGTCTGTGTGTGTCTGCGTGTGTCTGTGTGTGTGTCTGTGTGTGTGTCTGTGCGTGTGTGGTGTGTGAGGAGCGGTGGGTGTAGTGCTTAACGCTACGCTGCGCTACCAACCCGGCAAACCCAGTTCGATTCCCGCTCACGGCCACCACCGGTGACGATTATTTGAACCTCCCCTAGGTCGACTCTGCCTCAAACGAGTAACTTAACTACTGTAGCGTATTAACATCGCCACTGGGGAGACAAAGGCGGCCGGCCGTGGTAGATACAAGTCCCGGGCGAAGCCGGGTAGTACAGCTAGTACTGTATAAAGAGCCGCAAACCAAGAATAGAATTGTAGTGTTTCAATATGGGGCGACTCGGTTTGCACGGTGACGCGCCTGGGCCATTCTCAGCCTCCTCCGCCCCGTTGCGAGGAGGAACATTTATTTTTATTAACATGTTTTATTGTCATTAAAGATCCCAGGATACAGTGTGGATTTCAACAATAAGGGGAGAAAAAAGACAGCAGATGATGTGTAACGAGCCAGGCACAATGCACCCTCAAGATTAGCAATCAAACAGGGGCGTCTGAGCTCGCTGCCCTACCGTGGTAGGGGTGACGATCTGGAGTGGTGCATTTCAGGGGGACGAAGATGGAAGAAGGAGCAGGTGGGAGCGGAGGAAGGACAACGTAAACAAATAGAACCAAAAATAAAATAACATAAACGCAATGTCCACGTTTGTCTTTCTTGTAAAGAGCAATGGTTACCACGTGTTAACGAAGATGGAGTAGGTATCCAGAGTCTGTCCCTTCTCCCCGGACCCCCCCATTTTTCCCGGCTATTCGTCCTGCGTTTGTGGGGGGAACATTTTGAAGGCTCTGAATTTCCTAGCTTTATTGAAGTGTGCAATAGATACCGCTTGGTAGCAGTGGCCTCTGTTTGGCACCACTTTCCTTGGCCACTGCACAAACAGTCGGCTTTTATTCAACCACATGTCTCCTTTGATTTCAGACCTTTGTATTCTATGGATAGTGAAAATGAATTACTCAGCAGGTCCATAAACGCATCGCAGCAACGGTGTTTGACATCTACATTTCTTCTTAACGTGTCAATTACACCAAATAATGTGCCAAATTATTGTAAAGTTGCTAATGTGTGTCTTCTACATGAAGGCTGTAAACAAACCAAATGATGAGACCAGCATCAGTCATGTGCATTTTGTTAAAACTGCTGGAAAATCAAAGAAAAAACTATTTGTTCCTCATATGGGGGCAATATTAAACGTTTTCTCAAAACAACCCAGTTTTGGGGCAGAGACACAATACAATATCGACCACTATGGAAATGATCAATTATCGCTCTGGCTTTTTATATGCTTCAGTTTGGACAGCCGTACAGCAACTACCCGAAAACATAGAGTCGTAAAAACTAAATATTTTGAGCCGTCTAATTTGATTTTTGAAAGAAAACCTTTGCCATGGTAGATCATCAGATTCTGAACCTCAAGTCTGGAAAACCATGGCATCAGCTCTTGTGTCATATGTCATGATGAGTACTGCAAGATCCGACCGTCTCCGTCTAGTGCTCGCTGAGCTACATTGGCTTCCGGTTACTGAACGAACACATTATCAGCTCGCAATCATTACACACAAAGTGCTTGCCACAAATGAACCACACAACCTTGCTGATCTCGTCAAGGAGCATAAATAATCACGCGAACTGCGGTCATCCTCACAGCGGCTTTTGGCTAGGCATCGAACAAAGACAGTCACTGCATCGCGCGCTTTCAAATGCACTTCTGCAGCCGTCTGGAACGCTCTTCCTTCCGATGTTAGGAAGCTACTGGGACTATGCACTTTTAAATCGTCTAGAATTAAAACTCATTTCTTTAAAACTGATTTTGGTGTTTAGTTTGTTTTTCTTTCCCCGCACCTCCAATTAGCATGGTGCGAAAGAAGTTCAACATATACATGCACACCACCGTTTTGATACTGCCAACGAAATAAAAGCTCGGCCATGGTAGGCCATTCATCCATGTTCCAACGAGCTCCAACCCCGCTTAAGTTCTAAAATACAACACAACCAAGGTGAGGGTGATATGGTTAGGTATGATGCAGAGAGACACGTACCTGTTGTACCCTCGCAGGGAGAAGGCTCCCTGCGGGTAGACGGACGAGCAAGACTTGTAGTAGTAAATGCAGCCACGGTACAGAACCGTGAATCTCAGTTGCCCTGCATTAGGGCGAAAAGATCATACCGGTTAATTTGATTCCACCTCGGTTATATTGATGGCTCTTATATGGCGTTATCAAACGTCTTGTGGTGAAACGTGTTATATGGATCTGTGAGCTCAATTGGCTTTTTGTGTCACTGAAGGAACTCAGATTTCAAAATTTGTTTAGGAAATGGTCTCATTTGGGCAATGTGGTGTGGAGTGAATTCGAGCGAGTCTGACTAATACTGGAGAAAATGAATGGGCGTTATGCTTCCTGTAAGTAGAGAAAGGATGAGGTGTGGTGGTGAGGATGACCAGTCTGGGTAATAATGCGAGTCTCAGTGGAGTGCCTCTGCTTTACCCGGACGGGTTCGTGACAAGACAAAACGATGCACAATTGAAAAAAGCAATGCATATATTTAAAATTGTATCTTCAGTGGCATGCAAAGCACACAACATCTTACTCAGTGCAGTGTTCCTACCCGTCCCATCCTTTGAACCCGTGGCTCCAGTGATTACGAAAGTACTTCTGGTGGAGTCGGTAGAGAAATAACACGACCCTCGCTATGTAACGAGGGATTTTATTGCTTTACATTTGAAATACTGTCTTCCACGCACCATTTCACATACAGTTCCAGATTATAAGATATAGTTTTAATAAGAACAAACAAATGCATTTGTTTTGAAAGTAAAAAAAGAAAACGAGAGATATTTGCATTCAAGCATTGAATGTCTTACTACCAAAATTGTATTTCACTTAACATGTTTATTATATTCTTGCAGCTTCTGCAAAAGATATACACATCCCCTTTGCACGTTCGAATCCAGCAAAATGCTGCCGCTTTCGTGTAACATGCGCAACATGCGCCTACGGGGAGAGGAAGCGAGCGTGGAAAAAAATTTGTGGAACAGGAAATTTCACTCTGAAGTGACCACGGGGGAACGAGGAATAGTGATGGGCGGGCGTGGGGGGTCAGGGATGTGGCGTACATCGGTTGAGGGTGAGAGAAGATTCGGCCTTCTTGTGAAGGTATCCAAACGTGGTGGCGTCCCCCGGCATCGTGAGCAGGTGCTGCGCGCTGATGTGGCGCAGCGGGATGGGCCACTCTGGCCGATTGGAAGCCATGCTGTTGGAAATACACAAAAGACAAAGGTCACCGGTATAGAGGCTTTAACAAGACTGTTGGGGCAAGTGCTGTTAGCGAGCCATGTATGAAGGCCGGCACGACACACGAGCAGGGTGGGTGGCTAGCACGACGCCTGGCCGCCTTTGTCTCCCTAGTGGCGATGTTTACACACCGTACCAGCTACTCATTTGAGGCTGCATCGACCTAGGAAAAGCCCAGGAACGGTTCAGATAATCGTCACTGGTGTTGACAGCGAGCGGGAATCGAACTCTGGTGCTTGGGTTTGTAGTGCAGCGCGCTAACCGCAACACTACACAAACAGACCACATTTAATTAATATTAATAATAACAATATACATTTTTGTTTATGCAGAAAACCCACACCGAGTCTTAAACTAATTTTAAGAAGGGTCCTGCTTTGGGCTTTAATTTTAAGATGTTTTAAGCCAATTAATGAGCGTTTATTTAGCCCGCCTATATTTTTGGCATACGGACTGTAAATGTCTAAAATGTATATTTTTATTTTACAAGATAAGGCCCACTGAGCTATACAGCTCTTTTCAGAAGCGACCTGGTCACCAATGATAGCTCAACGAAGTGGCTTATCGTGTGGACATGTATAGCAGCCAAATACTCTAAACGCATGTTTCTAAATGTGGAAGGAAAAACCAGAAGACGTGGATAAAAATCCACGCAACCATGGGGAGAACATGAAAACTCCAAATATACAGGTATCAGGGTCGGGATTGAACCGATGACCATCCTGCATACCAGGTGAGGGAGTTAGCATCTCGCCACCGTGGCACCCCAGTTAAAATGATGGTAATGCACATGCACATATATTGATGTGTTTTGCCTATTTTTACCTACCCATCTCTTCTCGATACTGAATGTTTAGATTAAATTAATTCATTTTGGATACAAATGAAGTGCAAATAAAAATGGCCAATGGTGTGCTCAACCAACAGACAAGGTCACCAAGGATCTCCAAATAACAAAATCGAATAAAATGTTTTTACATTAAGGAAGAGGCACGTGAGATATAATGTGGCTTTACATTTGCTTTAAGGACCACATCGCCTATTGATACGATTTGGCTAATAAGCCTCCACCGGAGGGTTTCTATTATACAGTGCAATAAGTACTGTATTTCCCATCACTCCACGTGTGAGCACATACGTATGCACCTCCGATTAGCACGGTCCCGCACTTCCAATTAGCACGGCTGGCTACATACGGTGCGAAAGAAGTTCAGCATACATACATGCTCATTAATATAACTTTCCACATCATGGTTTTCCCAAATTACTCCCTTCGAAGCTCGAAATTATTTTTAAAATTTCACTGTTAGCTTGTTTTACTCACCCTCATCCCTAAATGTTACCACATCATCCCATGACTCGAATCCCATCACTGGCTCCCAAACTAATCCTGCACCAACTTCAGATCATTTTCACTGTTTTCAAGATCGGCCCCATAGACCCACCCCAACAAGCCAAAGCCTCTTGGTTGACAATAATTTCGGCGGCCTATGGTCGCCTTAATCTAGCTCCTGTGGAGGGCTTCTCGACGCTTCACACCTCGCCCGTGACCCCCACTGATGTCCTCTTCTTCCCCCCCCAAATGAATGCAGATACTACTGACTCTATTGTGTATAGGGTGTGTAGGTATATATGCCTTCCAAAATAAATAAAATAAATTTGGAGGTGGGGGGGTGTGACCATGTATCTTTTTTGGGAGGGGGGTCGACAATTTTTGGAGACCTTTTCGATAAACTTTTTACCCTCACATCTGGGGGGGTCCTCTATAACTCTGTGATTAAAGCATTCTGAAAGGATCTTACCATTTAGTTGACAAACGGACAAATAGAACGACATGCTTTTATAATAGAAAGCCCCCAGTCAACCTTCGTTCAGGGAATGGTCTGGAATTCCTTTCACCTGCTATCGATTCACAGCCCCTGCTCAAGTCTAAGCTCAATACCTATGTCTTGTGGTCTGCATGTGACTGACTGTCCCTTCTCGTTGGTGGATGTTGTTAGTGAGATGTTTGGCGTTCCGGATGACCTGCAGATTAATTGTTGGGAGGTTTAAGAAAATCACAGAGGAAAAACAGGGAGCCAAGTATTAGCAGATGCCAGAGATGTTAAGGTGAAGTGAGGAAATCTTGCTGTGTCAAGAGATGTGGGGAGTGCGGGGTCAATGACAAAATAATGGTTTAAAAAAACTGAGTAATTTGGCTGCGTTTGTCATGAAATGTGTGGCGGGAATCGTCACTGAGGGATTTGTTTTTTTTTGCCAATGAAGAGGACTGTCTTTAAGGACAATTAGTTGGATAAAATAGCTGTTAATACGGGTTGAGACAGAATCAACGCAGGTTGAGCGGGTAGGCAGTGAGTGAGCTGTGGTTGGAATAACAACAACGACGGTTGAGCTAAGTGGGAGGTAAAGGTTGGAAATGAGGTTAGAACTGTGGGTGGCACCATCATTTTGTAAATATTGTAGCTGAACTTTCTTCTCGGGGGAGGGGAGAGGGAATGCGGGCAGCCAGGGGGCCGGCAATTGTGACGTAATTCTCCTCAGTGCTGTTCGGTAAGGAAAACGTATCTTCTACAAATATGTACCGTGTGTTGAATGGTACCTATACACAGAGGCATTGCGTGGAAGAAGCAGAACAGGCAGCAGCATTTAACATGTGCACGACACAAGTTCTGTGCTCGAGGTCACGTCACTTATTTTATGGAATCATATAAGACCTAACTTTTTATGGTAGAGTCTATTCTTATTGTGTCAAGTGGAGCCCACCCTAGCCGTGTTGGACCTCCAAGGGGCAACACTACTCAACGGCGCATTGCATTTTAATGTTGACTTAGATGCTACTTTTGGGGGTGTTTTCACTCTTTGTGTATTGTTGGGGGCCACACGAAAGGCCACCAGGGGCCGCCAGTGGCACGTGGGCCTTGCAATGAAGAACACTGAAGTAGGAACTCATTCCTTCTTGCAGATAATCCCCTTGCACCTCACCATCTCTACACTGTGAAATGGCGGCCATGGTTCATTCCTCCACAGCTAGCATACTTCCGGCACACCCTTCATCAGTATCCTCTTCCCAACATCCTCTTCCCTCGCTTCCAAAACCCGGGAACTGGTCGCGCACAGCTGGAATCCAGAACCATTGAAGGCGACGGTTTGTGGATGACACAAATTTGTGAAGCTCCACTCTGGGCTTGTCAGGCACTGTATGACCGAACAACAAGTCGATTACATTTCCATCCATACGTGGAATGAGCGCCACCCCCCTGCACACGCGTAGGTTTCCACAGGTACTCTGGTTTCCTCCCACGTGTATAAATACTCATTGATGGAGTTGAACTGACATCTGATTGTAGACCGGGTGTGGCTGCCTTCCCACTTGTCTGTGGTTTACCTCACCTCTGAATCACTCTCTTGAGCGTGAACGAAAACTGTGCGAGTTACAAATTCTAAGTTTACGACTCTTCTCGGCTTTCCACAATTAGCCACCTCATGCAGTGACACCCTTATTAGTCAGTTCAACACGTAGGCTTTCATGACCAATATCATCCATAATATATTTATGTGATCTAACCCAAAAAAACTGTCTATTTATGCGATCTAACCAAAAACCTTATATTATGGGCCCTTATTAGTCCTCCAAAGCCTCATTCTCCCTCACAAAAATTGAAGAGTGAAAATGCTTCCTTGTTCAACCAAGCCAGCAAGGTTGACTACGTACGGTGATGAAGAAGTTAAACATACACATGCATACGGTTAGTGGATGACACAAAAACAGTGGCTTTGCTCCCAGCGGTGGATTTTTATCGTGCCTCTGGCCGGGGGTATTTAACGCGTAGAACAACCATTGTTATCGCACCTCCGATGAGCACGGTTGGCTACGTACCATGCGAAAGAAATTCAACATGCATACACATCCATCGAATCTACAAAAAGGCACTCATAAAAAGTGATGAGCCAGTTAGACTCCATCTAGGATGTGAACTCATGACCATTCATGTTTGAGTCAGGCCCTGTAACCATCTCACCCACCACACTCGGCACCACCACATTAACACCCCCGCCAAACTTCTTCATCTGGGGATATTGATGATTGCAGCGATACTAACCCTGATTGTCTGCCTACATAGATGGCTCAGCTCAAATGCGTCACACAACGAGGAGGCGCAGTGTCTATACATGTGTAGTGACATTGCGGATGTCACTGTGTAATGCCGGCTCTAGAGAGGCACGGCGTGCGACGCATTGACAATGCAGGCACCACGTATATGTCGGTGCAGTACCGGCCCTAAAGGGGCTCGGTGAGCGCTGACTGACAGCGCTGGATGGCACCACGCTCGGCGTGCAGTGCCGAGCCCTACAGGATGGGGTGTCAGGGTGTTGGCCAAGGGAATGGGGTTACTATAGGCCATGGCACTCTGGTTGACCCAAGAAGACATGTGACCGGTAAAGTCTACACAGTGCCCCCAGGTGGGGGCTAGGGGTGGTCACGTGTCAGGGTCGAGATCCTGCTCGAGGGTTTGAGAAGGTGGTCGTGGCTAAGGGCGGAGCCAGCCCTGCCACAGAGGATATAAGCCGGGTCCCTAAGAGGGACTGGCTGCTGTTGTTCATCCTGAAGAATCTACGTTCTACGTCCTAAGCTAGGGTCTGGTCCGTCGTAGCTAGTTCCAGTGTAATTAGTGCAGTTAGCCTGGTGATCCACCACCATAGGTTGTCATCTTGTTAAGGGGTAGTACCCTGTGTGTTGGTTTTAATAAATGTGTTGCCTCCAAGAAGCACGTCTGCGACTCAGTTGAGCTCACTACACATGTGTAGTGGAGTAACACACGTGGGGGTTTGCAAGCGGTGTGCACGCATGTGCGAGTTACGGACAGTGAGGTCGCACCGGGGCGAACAGGTGTGGAGAGAGAGCAACGGAAAGGAGGCAGCTATTTCAGATGCATAGCAGTGATTGGCTGGCTGCAAATG